ACAGATCGTACGGTATGGTTTTTTGTCAACCTTAGACAGTTAGGGAGGAAAAGAAGAAAAAAGAGAGGAGGAGGAGGAGGAAGGGAGGGAGCTCGGAGGGAAAGGATAAAAAGAGCAAGTGAGCGGAGCTAATCTTACGTGAACATCAACTTGAGCTTTCCAGGTTTAGATAGAGCGTGTAAGGAGCTAGCAACCAACTATTATACTTTTAAGGTAGGAAAGGGTATGTTAAGGTATATTTATACAATTTTAACATATCAGGGACACATGGATGTGGCCTAGATAGGACTTATGCCCCCCTTATGACATAGCTATGTATATATCATCTACTTCTATCTTACAATGATTATTTCTCCTTTATATTATTGCCTGCTATCGCTGTTGTTACTATCATCATCATGCCTGTACTTTTAATACTCATAATCCAATGCTGTGTTGCCAAATTACCAACACACAACTTCTCAGAAATACACTATGCAGCACTGTTAGATTTCTCTTCAAGAAAATATAAAAAACACAAATACATAAAATCCACAGAAAAAAACATCATAAACACGACAACACGCAAGCGGAACTAGGAAGCCTGACCCAGTATGTTAATAGCAACCTACACGCATAGCAAGAATAAAATACATACGCATCAACGCACCTATTTACTAATTGTTCCTATTCTAATTTCTTAAACTTGAAAGAGAAGCAACTATACTCTATGCCTAACCTCCAACGCCTAATTCATCCCATCTCCCCTATTCCCACCTATCGCGACATCCCGCACAACGCACATTCACTCATTCACTCATCTCATCTCATTCACTAATTCACACACAACACTTCACCATTCACCATTCACCACTCACAATCCACCATACGAACAAGCAAAACAAAAAAATTGCCTAACTCGCTCGATCTCCACTCTACTCACTGCCTATTTACTTCCTTACTCGTCGCAAAAAAGCCCCTCGTGCCATCATAGTCATGCTCACGTTCTAGCTTTAAATCCCCAGTGTAAACTCGACCCCAACATCAATGTCCCTCGCCATCTTGACCACCTTGGAGAACTGGACGGATTTCTCCGCCGCAGCCTGGAGATCATCAATGGAGAAGATTTTGAGACCCGAGTCGTTGAGCTAATCGTGATTTTCACCGTTTCGTTAGCAATTTGATTTTTGATCGCGGTAACTTTCGCTGAGGGAAGGGTTGGAAGAACTCACCAGTTTATGCGCCTGCTCCATATTTGTACCCTGCAACCTCGCAATCACGGGCGTCTTGAGGTTCATTTCCTGCACAACTTGAATCAGGCCCTTGGCGATGGCGTCACAGCGCACGATACCGCCAAAGATGTTGACGAAGATGGCGGTAACCTTGGGGTCGCTGGTGATGAGGTCAAAGGCCTGCCTGATGGCCTCGGGTGTGGCGCCGCCTCCGACGTCGAGGAAGTTGGCGGGCGCGCCGCCGTTGAGCTTGATGATGTCCATGGTGGCCATGGCGAGACCGGCGCCGTTAACCAGGCAGCCAATGTCACCGTCTAGCTTGATGAAGTTGAGACCGACCTTTGCGGCCTTGACCTCATCGGCGTCTTCCTGGGTGACGTCTCTCCACGAGAAAACTTCCTTCTGGCGGAAATCGGCGTTGTCGTCGAAGTTGAGCTTGGCGTCCATGGCGAGGACCTGGTGGTCGGTAGTTTCAGACAGGGGATTGATCTCGATTTGAGTGGCATCCTTCTCCATGAAAACGCGGTACAGCTTCTGGATGGTGTCCTTGGCATCCTCGATGCACTGCTCTGAGAAGCCAAGTTCGGTGGCAATGTTGCGCGCCATGTCGTCCGTAACGCCAACATGGATGTCAATGGGGGTGGTGATAATGGCCTCGGGGTGCTCCTTTGCGACAGCCTCAATGTCCATGCCACCTTGCGACGAAGCGACGATGACAGGTCCCTGTGAGGCGCGGTCCATGAGAATGGCAAGGTAGAATTCGCGGCGGGCAAACTTGCGGTCGACAATGAAGACAGAGTTGCAGAGACGGCCAGCGGCTCCAGTTTGCTTGGTGATGAGCTTGTGGCCGATCATCTGGTCGGCCAGGATAGATGCTTCGCGCGGCCTGCATGTGATTGTCAGATATCAAGCCTGGTGGCAGAGACTGCGCATAGCGTACGAGTAGACGACTCTGACTCCGCCCTTGAAGCCATTGTCAAAGGTACCCTTTCCTCGGCCTCCAGCAAGAACCTGGGCCTTGATGACAACATCCTCTCCGCCTACACGCATTAGTTCCGTCTTGCGCTTTTTACATGTACATGCGCATACCAATGTCCTTTGCGATTTGTTCCGCCTCCGCTGCGTTGGTAGCCACGCCGCCCTTGGGAACACCAATGCCGTACTATTTTCTCTGGTTAGCCATCCCACGCCCTCGCAATATTCAACTGGGCGGTGGAAAATGCGGCCGTACCGACTCAAGCAGCGCCGCGGACCGGTATTCGTGGATGGCGAGCCATCTCCGCTGCTGGACTGCGGAGCGCTTCAAGGGAGTCTCCTAGTAAAACCAGTGTCAGCACGTATTCTCAATTGCAATGCAGCCTGCCTGGCTGTCAGAGGCTTTTTGCAGCGCCAATTCCAGTTCGGCGGGTGCGAAGTGGGAGTACATACAGCAGCAGCTCGGAGAGCGCTGGTGAGAGGCCGGGCACGAGCAAAGTTGAACATGGTGTCGGGGAAAAGACACGCAGTTGCGGTGTTGTGGGAGAGAGGGTGAAGGAGGTGGAGGGGTGATACAGTGCGGTACTTTGTGAGCTTGTTCCTGCTACTGCTTGCTGTTTCGCACAGGCGCACAGGGTTGATGCGGACGGTCTCTAGCGGCGCCGAGAATGAACCGGGTAGCAGGCTGTCAGTCAAGGCTGTCCAAATTCATGGCGGCCGGGAACAAAACTGCCTAGTAGCCTAACGATCATCCCGAGTATCCATCGAATCTACCTGCACAAATTCGCGCAACCAAAACATGTCGAAACGTAATAGCGACGGAGACGTGCTCACCAACAAACTGAATCTCGGTCTGGCAAAGCAGAAAAGCCTACTAGCTTCATGGATGGGAACAGAGCCAGTCTCTACTGCCCCCAACGAGACCGAAGAACAATTCAATGACGACGATCTAAAGCAAGACTATGCTCACGACAGGTACGTTGGCCAGCCCGCAATATTGTTACATTTTCTAAAAAAAAAATCTCATCATGTTCCCTAGACTTGGTGTTGGCTCTATACTCCCCAAGGACGTTGCAGATGGGAGTTTTACAAGACGAATTCCAACATCAAAGGACAAACTGCTCGTTCAATTACTCGGTGCAAAGAAAGCAAAGGCACATATTGCTGCCAAGCAAGAGGCAGCAAGGCCAAATGCGAATGCCAAGGCCCAGCGCAATGGGAAGCCAGTTGTTGCGAAGAAGGATGACAGCGACGACGAAGAGGAGGGCCGAGCTGCTACGTTCAAGTCAAAGAGGAATAGGGCGAATCCCGAAAAGAAAGTCGCAAGGGAGATTGACAGCGATGATGAGGATGAAGAGATGAGAGCGAAGAGACTAGGCGCGGATAGTACCATGGACGGCGAGGAAGCATTGAAGAACAGCAGTGCAGATGTTCCTGTTGAGAGTGCGCCACCAAAAGAGGGAGAGGTTGAGTCAAAAGCAGAGGAAAAGGCTGCTGATGCTGGCGACGTCAAGACTGCCCCTAGAAAGAGCAGAGCCAAGCCAAAGAGTTTCCTCGACGAGATCTTAGCAGAACGGTCGAAGAAGAAGAGCAAGAAGAGCGCGGTATGAAATATCCTGGGATTCGATCGTTCCATCCCATCTATTCTTTTACACATCTACTCCCGGACAATCAAACTCGCCATTCCCATTCCCGTTCCGATGCATTTACTCAGCACACCAACCTGCTCCCCACTCCTCTCCATCTCACTCAACAGCGTCGCCAACATCCTTCCACTGGTAGCCCCCAGCGGATGTCCCAACGCAATCGCGCCACCATTTGGATTCACCCTGTCCATTTTGTTCTCCAAACCCAACTTCCTCACACAGTACAGTGCCTGACTGGCAAAAGCCTCGTTGATTTCCCACAACTGCACATCCGATGTCTCAAGGCCGGTGTAGTTGAGAAGCTTGGGGATGGCAAGCGCAGGACCAACGCCCATCTCGTCGGGCTGGCAGCCCACAACTTGCGTGCCTGCCCATTTACCGATGATGTGGGATTCAAGACCGAGAGCTGTGGCGGTAGACCGGCGCATCATGAGGGCCGCAGAGGCGCCATCCGAGACTTGACTGCTGTTACCAGCTGTGCTAGTACCGTCGCTCTTGAACGCTGGTTTCATAGTGGCCAACTTCTCGATTGTGGTGTTTGCGCGAATCCCATCGTCCTTGGTCACAGTAACTTCCTTGACAGTCTCTGGGTTCTCAGGCTCGATCCATCGCGTGGTGACGGGGACAATCTCCGCGTCGAAGCGACCAGCTGCTTGCGCGGCTGCTGCTCTCTTTTGGGATTGTGCGGCAAAAGCATCCTGATCCGCTCTGCTAACGCCATAGCGCTCTGCAACATTTTCACTTGTGATTCCCATGCTCATTATGCAGTCTCTCGCTTGCTTGACCGGGCTGTCCTTCATCTCGGGCCACAGCTCTGTGGGAATGGCACGGCTGCCGTAATTGCGCGTCATGCTCTCCATGCCTCCAGCGATACCAACTTCTATTTGCCCGACGGCGATCGAATTGGCGATAGATGTGATAGCGGAAAGACCGGAGGCGCATGCGCGGTTCACGGTACTAAATGAGGTCGTGGTAGGAATGCCAACGTGGTTTGCGGCCATTCGGCCAGCTTTTGAGCCACCAAGCTCGGCCAGGACGGTGCCGATTGTAATTTCGTCTATCTTTGCAGGGTCGAGATTTGGGAATTTGGAGATTGTAGCTTTGAGTACCTTGAGCATGTTAGCAATTGAGATACGGTCCATGCACAACTGGGTCAAGCCTACAGCTCCGAGCAGCTCGTGGTCATAGGCATCTCGCAATCCACCCTTCTTTGCTCGTGTGACTGGTGTACGAAGTGCTGAGAGAAACACTACATCATGTGGATTCCTCTGGAGAATGTTCCTGACGCCCTTTTGTATGAATGCCATTGTGGTGTAGGAGATCGATAGGCAACGCTAAGTACAACTATGATGATAATCGAAAAGACATAAAAAGAAGAGAAGAAAAGGTGCGAATGTGCAAACGAAAAGTGCTTCGACATTGCCGGCAAATACACCATGGATGCGGTAAGCTAAGCTTCAGGTTCCGAACGTAGAGCTTCGGCAACTGAGCGCGGGGTGAAGTGGCCATAGACGGGGCCAGGCGGAAAAGACCTTTCCCGGGTCACGTGTGCGGATACGCCCACGGAAAAGGCACAGTCCGGGAGCCGGATATCCATAACCAAACGTTGTTGAGCCTGGGTTAAAGTTGAAATTGCTCATATTTGAATCAAGCTATCATGCAATCATCATGACATCCCTCGCTATTTTCGCAGCCAGGTCGTCCGCGCATGTGAAGCACAAACTTGTCTAGGCCGATGCGATCGCCTTCCCCACCACCCTGCTAGCAATGTCGCCCAAGAAGCCCCCCAAGATCAAAGAAAATCGTTTTCCCCATTCCAGACGTACTTTTGCTTAGGCTGCTGGGTACACGAGTCGGAAGACGTCGTTCAGGACGTAGAAGCCTCCGTTGTCGTTCTTGAGCTGGAAGGCCTGTGTGAAGCTCATGGGCTTGTCCTCGCCTCCAAGCTAGCGGGGTGTTAGCCAGTATGCGCAAAGCTTCGTGGAATGTTTCTCACCAGAAGAGCACCAGTCACGAGGACGAGGATGCCATCCTCAGCAGAGGGCTGGGCGTCGATGGTGTCTGTGCGGTGTTGTATCTGCTGGAATGGCAGGTTCTTTCCAGGTCAGTGGCTTCCTACTGTCGTGGGTCTCGAATATATCCTACTTGAAGCTTCTCTACAATGGCGGCCGCTCCCTGGGTCCCTTGCGCCTCAAAGGTGAGCATGGAGGCTTCTCTCTGTATGGCCACATCAGCTAGCTGGTTACTGCGATTGCCCCTCTTTGACCACATACGTAGAGGGAAGCGAGACCGGCGCGGTTCCCATCGAAGGTCTCGTAGTAGAACTTGACAAACTGCTCTATATTGAGGGTCAGTGCCGTTCCGATGGATTTTGCGCTCGAGACGCTGGTAGGACTGGGTTTCTCGGGAGATTCGTACGGGCAATAGCGTTGAAGTCGGCTGCGTCGCATGTCAGTGTCAAGGAACAGTCTGAGGCGGGGCTGAGGGACCGAGCATACACATCTTTGCGGTCTTTGGAGGCTTCTTGGCTAGAACGAGGTCTGAAGCAAGGTCTCGCTGGGATGCGCGCGATAGTAGAATATCTTGCGTTGGGTTGACTCGAGGCAGTGTTTGGGCTCTGCACGGCCTGGTTTGTCCCGCCTTCACTGTCAACGTTGGTGGGGTAGCCGCCGGCGAACATCGGGCCGGCGCGCTGCCTTTTTCTTCGAAGCTTCGAGCGCCAGTGCCTTTCCCTTGTCCATCACCACCGCCATCACTCCTCAACGCGTCCTGTAGCCATGATGGCTGATGATGTTGTCGTTGATGCGTGGTCTCAATCAATGGTAAGCACTTACATTTTTCTCCTTCTCTCCTTTGCTTCATGATGAACAACCTTCAAACGATAACTTCCGAGTCGAAAGACGGTGAAGTCCAAAAAATTCAAGCTCAACAGGCTGATTGCACATACAACTGGCTCTATTACTGGTCGCACTTTCATTCCACGAACTGACATAATGCGCTTAGATGTCATACAACAGACGTACAGCACTTCATTGATGCGTGCGAAGGTAGTGAATACAGTACATAGGCAATTGAATGCTTATTCTATTTACACCCTGTATACCTCATCTCACAGTGAATCGCTAGACAATTACAACCCCTTCTTCTGGAACGACTTGATCGTGTCAACGATGCACTCTTCCAGTGTCTTGTACTTCAGCCCAAGGATCTCGATCGATCGCTTGTTGTCATACTTGTACAGGCCCTTGTCGGGTGTGCCCTCTGGATAGTCGCCGCCCGGCGTCGAGTCGCTGGGGAGGTCCTTGAACTCGGGGAAGTTCTTCCTGATGATCTGGCATACCTCTTTGTTGCTGAAATACCCAGCGGTTGTGAAGAAGCGCTTGTTCGCGGCATCAGGCTTCTCGAAAGCAGCTACATGTGCCTCGGCGACATCGCGCACGTCGATCCAGAAATGCACACCACTGGGTGGAATCTCATCCTTGAACTTGCCTTGAGCGGCCGCCAGGATGCGTTGGTTCGATGTGTTCATGTTCTCGAGGCTGTCGAGCGGATGCACCTGTTGCGCTTGTTAGCGAGTGCCATGTGCGCAAGTGTAGGGTGGCGTACAATGGGTCCGAAAACCATGGGCGGGTTGATGGTTGCAAGTGTGAAATTCGGCTTCTCGTTCTTGACAAAGTCCCACGCAGCTTTCTCGGCGAAAGTCTTGCTCGCACGGTAACCCATCATGGGGTTCTCTTTGGCCTCCTCCGCGGTGATGTTATTCCAGTCATCCTCGGAGTATACGTGACCAGGCCAGAAGCCTTTGCTGCCATCGACAATGGCAGCGAAAGACGATGTGATGACGACGCGCTTCACTGAAGGCGCACTCTTCTTGATCGACTTCAGGATTCCTGTTGTGCCAATGACAGCAGGGTCGATGAGGTCCTAAGCCAGTCAGGGACAATCCGACATGTTGGCATGGCTGGTACAAACCTTCTGCACGTCTGTGACGTTGAAGTGGAACGGACTGGCTGTGTGAAGAACGGCCTCGAATGGCGGGTCTGAGACCACGGCCTTTTCAAAGGCATCTGGCTGTGCAATGTCGGGTACAATGGCAAATCCGAGCTGTCCCTTGTCGACGTGACTCTTATATGCCTCCTTGATCTTGTCGGCCTTCTCCTGGGTACGGACAGTGGTGACCACTGAGTGGCCGTGGCTCAGAAGCACGTCGAGCGTATGCGCGGCGATGAAGCCACTTCCACCCGTCAAGAGTACTCTGGTCATTGTGCAATTCGTCTGGCTGCTGAGTCGGGGGATATGTGTTGTTGAAAATCAAGAGTTGGTTTTGAAATGCTTTGTCGAGTGTAACCAGCTCGGAACCGTGATCCGTCCTTCTCACGGACGTGGGACAGTATTTGTACCGTAGCCCCTCGATATGGGATGGCACTTTAGCGCGGGGCAGTGGTTTCCGAGCTTCGGCTTCGTTTGTTGCCTCCTGCTCTGCGCTGCCCATCCCCGTTACCGCCGACAAACGCCGTCATCGCCAGGTTGTGGATTTGTAGTCATGTCCGCGGCTGATGTCCCAGTGCTCCCAAGTTGAGCTGATTGCGTCACCGCCTCTATACCGGTATATCGTGTGGGGCCTTGCCCTTTGGCCTTCCAGTCCTTGGATCGATGGCCGTGTCGGTCTGCGCGAACAGCTGTTGATCCGTCGCCTCAACTCGCTTTGCTTTGCCAAATGGCGAATGCACTTCCCAGTACACGCCGCAGCAAAGCCATATCTTCATGGTGTTTCGGATGACGCGAAGAACGTGTAGGCACGAGAAAGTACGGGCTCGACTTCCAGACGGTCTGCTTCGAATACGGCCCTGGGATAACGACGTAACGAACGTGGTATGGACAGACGGCCCTCGGGTTCGTTTGTTTCACAATCGACCTCTTCGCCAGGTACCCAAGGGTAGTGTGCTATGTTCATGATAGAGTAAGTAGTCGCGTCATCTTGGGCAGTCGACGCGATCCTTTCACACTATGGACGGGTCATGCCTCGACCTTAACGAACAAAGGCCCCACCATAGCTCAGGCTGCATCCCACATGGCTCGTGTGCCACTTGAATGTTCCCTTCCAATCCTATCACGTTCCACAATGTCAAGATCGCCAATGAGGCGTCATTTCTGAGGCCGGCACAGGGTCCAAGAGTCCAAGGCTATGAAAACCACCGGATCAGCTGCGGGGCAGGTAGACAGGAGGAGTCGCACAACTTTTCCAGGCCAGTTTTTGCTTTCTTTCTACTCTTTTCTATTTAGTTTGCCCAATCACAACCCCTTTGAACATGTCTAGCCTCAAGAGAAGCCCACCATTTCGTGCCGAGCATGTAGGTTCGCTACTGCGTCCCCAGGAACTCGTGCAGAAGCGTTACGATGTCGCCTCTGGCAAGGCCAAGCCAGAGGAGCTCATCCCACTGGAGAACAAAGCAGTCGCAGAGGTTGTCAAGTTTCAACAAGACTGCGGTCTCAAGGCCATTTCGAGTGGAGAATACACCAGGTACAGCGACCAACATCATATGGTCTTAGTGCGTCTAGACCCGAATAGAGGTTAATTCGACCACAGGCACATGTTCTGGGGTACTTTCTTCGAGACACTCAATGGCATGAAGGAGCTGCAGCTTGGTGTCCTTGAGGGCTACGATGTTAGCATCTTTCGCGCATACGCTCCTGACATGAAGTCATTCACGGAAGCCAAGACCGTTCCCAACCAAGTCACCATTTGCACAAGCAAGATCAGCCACACTGGCAAGTCGAGCAATCAACGCGAAGTTGATCTGATGAAGAGCCTGCTACCCGAGAGCGAATGGAAGAACATCAAAATAACACTGATCTCGCCTTCATGGTACCACTTCCGCTACATGAATGGACGCAGCTACCCTAAAGAAGTGTACGCCAATGACGAGGAGTACTTTGAGGATGTCGCAAAGGCGTACCAGGAGGAGCTGAAGATTTTGCACTCGCAAGGCATCCGCAACATCCAAATCGACGATCCGAATCTTGCCTACTTCTGCTCGGAGGATATGTTGGCTGGCTGGAAGGCAGACAAGACTAACGACAAGACCGCCGACGAGATGCTCGATGCGTACGTCAAGTTCTATAACAAGTGCTTTGAGCGCCCTTCCGACATGCACCTGGGCATCCACCTTTGCCGTGGCAATTATGTCGGAAGCCGTCACTTCTCTGAGGGTGCATACGATGCCATTGCCAAGAAGTTGTTCCAAGTGAGTTGCCCTTGGTATTAAAAGGTTATTCTGTATTGACCAGCCAGGACCTCAACGTGGACACATACTACCTCGAATATGACACACCGCGGGCCGGTGGTTTCGAGCCACTGGCGCACCTCCCCAAGAACAAAAACGTTGTCCTTGGTGTCATCACATCGAAATTCCCCAAACTGGAAGATAAAAACGCCATGATCGAGCGTGTCAACCAAGCCGCCGAGTGGATCGCAAAGGGCACTGGCCAGTCACGCGAACAGGCTCTCCAGCAATGCTGTGTCAGCCCTCAGTGTGGTTTTGCGTCGCACGCTGAAGGTAATGATCTGGGCTACGAAGACATGAGGAAAAAGCTCCAGCTTGTGAGGAGCATCGCCGATTCGGTATGGCCTGGAGAGCCGTAACTGATTTGTCAATTCGGCTGCAGAGGGAGATCTGTGGACCAGGTTTAGACGGGAGACGTACGAATGGCGTGGCCAAGCATGAAAGATTGCATGGTGCGGACGAGTAATGGATTTGCCAACTTCAACATGGCATCCACAGTGAGTTGCATTAGTGGAGCAAAGTTGCCAGCGCCTAAAAGATTGAAAAAGTGATGACAGTGGAGATTGCCTACACGATACACCGTTCAACATCGCAATACGGAGAGCAAGTTTTTTCTTCTTGTGTATATAGTCAGAAATCTACATGTGACAATGAGAGACGATGAACATGCTTCCATCCCCCCAGCGCTCAATCAAGTCATTCATCCCAACTTACCAGTCGCTCGGATCGGGCTGCGGAAAAGAGCGAATCGGACATGTGATGATGTCTTCTGGTCGTGCATGCCGCCGCACACTTGGGTCAAGACGATGCCAAAGAGCCTCGGATGAGCAAGGCCCAAGACTCGTAAACCTTCTGGCCCAAGAAGAGGGCGGCCGATTATCAGTTGCTGCCTCGTGGCAATGGCAAAGATCAGATGGGCAGATCGACGGGCACGTGCTGGAGAGCTAAACTCTAAACGGCATCACGCGTCTTGGCACAATCCCTGATCTCCACCCGGAAAGCCGTTCTCTTTTTGTGACTGCGCGGAGACCTCGGATCCGGTGACTGGAAATGACTGGCCAATTTCGCCAGGATGAGAAAATGGAGGAACGCTTGTTCGTGGTGGGAGCGAGTATGGTAGATCATTGCTACGCCGTATGCCTCGCTTAGAGGAAGAGAACGGCGAAGACCTGAATGGGGAAGTCATGTCATGCGTCAGGATCATTCCCTTCCTCCGTTCCCAAACTCCGTGGATATCGCATCTCACAGTCGCCAAGATACAGTACATACATACATGCGTACTGACCATCAGCATCAAAAGAACAGTCTCGAAAGCCAAGTCGTTGTGAAGCGATGCAAACGATAGATCCACACTTCACCCATACCTAGACCTGCAGATCATAATCGAGGGATGTACCTTGGAGCGGTGGGCGGATGGTTGAACATCGTTTAAATTGCACTTGCCATGGACAACCCTGGAACGGCCCGCTGGACTAAGACTACGCCAGTTGGCGTGTCGCAAAAGAGGAGTAGAAAACGTCTGCCTTTGACCAATACAGGAATGTTCACCGTGGCGATGATATGCGACTAACACTCTCCTTCCGAGGACTACAAGAGGGGCCTTGCGATTGGGCATGCATTGAGATGGAGGGAAATAGGGGAGGGTTGAAGGCGTGCAGCGCTACATAAAGGACATCAGAGAAGCCGTTGATATGGTCGACAGGCATCGTGTTGGCCCTCACATACACTCGTTTACCTGAAGGATTGCAATAATTGGGGTTGTTCCCACATGTACGTAGCCGAGTACCGACTCTGAGGTTGCAAGGTTGCTGACGATCATAGCACACTCTTTTATAATGCTCTTCCGCCAACTGTTTGGCTCTCTTGCAGCCTTCACATCCCTTGCCACCGCTGTCGACCTTACCGGGTACGAGTATGTGGTAGTTGGATCTGGTGCTGGTGGAGGGTAAGCAATTGTCTCTGGCATGGGTGGAAGCAAGTCACTGATGTATCCATTCTAGCCCTCTGGCTGCTCGCCTTGCGCTCGCCGGCCATAAGACGTTGCTCATTGAAGCTGGTGACGACCAAGGTGCAAACATCAACTACACTGTCCCAAGTTTCAACGCTAGAGTGTCGGAAGACCCCAACTTAGCATGGAACTTCTTCGTCCGTCACTACGCAGACGAAGCCCGTCAGGCGCGTGACTTCAAGACAACGTACACTCTGCCCGATGGCAGCGAGTATACTGGGCTCAACCCTCCCGAAGGAGCAGAGATGAAGGGTGTCCTGTACCCGCGTACTGGCACTCTTGGGGGCTGCACATCACACAACGCTCTCATTGCCGTCTACCCCCACCAATCTGACTTTGACCATGTCGCTTCTATTACCGGTGACGATTCATGGGCGGCAAGCAACATGCGCAAGTACTTTGAGAAGCTCGAGAAGAACCAGTATCTTCTTCCCGGCGCCGAGGGTCACGGAAGGAAGGGCTGGCTCGGAACCGCCTATGCACCCATCGACTTTGTGCTTGCGGACCCCCAGCTCGTGAGCATGATCAGCGGCGCTGCTTTTGCCCTTGGAAACGAGACAAATGCCGTTGTCAACCTTGGGACCCTTATTGCAGGAGACGCCAACTCTGCCTCCCCAGAACGCGATAGCAAGCCTGGTCTTTTCCAGATCCCTATTTCGACCACGGATGGCAAGCGCACCGGAGCTCGCGAGTTCGTCCTCGCTGTCCGTGACGCCACGTTCAACAATGGCACCAAGAGGTACCCCCTCGATATTAGACTGAATTGCCATGTCACAAAGGTCACCTTTGACCAGACCGTCACTCCTCCCCGCGCAACCGGCGTCGAATTCCTCGACGGCCAATACCTATACAAAGCAAGCCCAAAGTCCAAGGGCGCCTCCGGTACGCCCGGCTCAGCAACCGCCTCCCGCGAAGTCATCGTCGCAGGCGGAACCTACAACTCGCCCCAGCTGCTCAAACTCAGCGGCGTCGGACCAGCTGACGAGCTCGAGAAATTCGACATCCCCGTCGTCGTCGACCTCCCTGGCGTTGGCACCAACCTCCAAGACCACTATGAGACCAACGTACAAGGCAAAGCCCCGCACAACTTCTCCTCCCTCGCCGGCTGCACCTTTGGCGAATCCACACCAGACCGCTGCCTCGACCGGTGGCAAAAGAAAACAGTACTCGGCAACCGCGGCATCTACTCCTCCCCTGGCCTCGGCGTAAACATGTTTTACAAATCCTCCGCCACCGCCCGCGACGAATTCGACGTCTTCGTCTTCGGCGGCCCCGTCAACTTCCGCGGCTACTTCCCAGGCTACAGCATCAACGCCACCCACGACCACGACTGGTTCACCTGGGCCATTCTCAAAGCCCACCCACGCAACACCGCCGGCACAGTCACCCTGCGCTCCGCCGACCCCCTCGACATGCCAGACATCACCTACAACTACTTCGACACGGGCAACGGCGACTTCCAAAAAGACATCACCGCCATCACCGAAGCCATCAACCTCGCCCGCAGCGCTATAAAGCGCCAACTCGTTCCCATTGACGAAATCCTGCCCGGCCCCTCCGTCACCTCACAAGCCGATATCGCAGACTACATCAAGGACCCCACTTGGGGTCCCCACCCCTCCTCTCCCTGTCCTATGGGCGCTGATCCCGATCCCAGGGCTGTGCTTGACTCGCGCTTTCGCGTCAGGGGTACGGCGGGCTTGAGGGTCGTCGATGCATCTGTGTTTCCTCGTATTCCGGGCACATTTACGGCGGTGTCGACGTATATGGTTGCAGAGAAGGCGGCGGATGTGATTTTGAGTGAGGTGGAGTAGGGGGGGGGGGGTTAGAATAGTGAAGGGTTTGGAGGGAGGAATTTGCAGTGATTGAAAGTTTTTTTTTAAGCGGATTTGCTGCTCTGTTTTATTTTTGGTGTCGCCTTCATATCTTTGATGTCGTTTGCAGTGGACTGTCAGACTCGTAGGCTGGAGTAGATCAGACTTATAAGCTGCAAGGCTGGAATAGGGGGAATCAGAAAACAGAGATAAACCCAAATAGGGCCGGGGTAGATGAAAACCTCATCCCTGCCTCGTCATTATCACACTGCGAACCTAACCTGTGTCCCAACACCGACCCAAAAGATCCCCCATCCAGAAAGACGAAACCGTAGCAATAAAAACAGTCCAATAACCAATGACATATCTTCTAGCTACGTGTACACATGAAAAATACATTTGAATTAGCCAGGAACCCAGGCACCCCGGCCGCCCTCTTCCCTGCGCTGACATGACGCGTTCATCGTACTCTTCCATCCTTTACGGCCCATCTCCTGAACCCTCCAAACCCCAACTGAACCATGGCCGTCGTGTGCGTGTAGCGCGCCAGAGGCAACGCGAGCGATTACTGTCCCAGTCCGGTGAAAGGGAAAAAAATAAAAGTGTATCATGTCGGTGTTGGAAGTGCGCGGCTTTGTGGAAGGTGAGGGGTTGGGGGTTGACATGATGCGAAATGCTAGCATTTCAATGCGTCTGCGTTTTGGTCGGGGATGGGAGGGGGAAGAGGGCGAGGTGATGATGCATGTGCAAGCAGTCTAGTGTGCAGCACCGGAGTACCGCGCTTTTCCCACCGTAAAGGGGACATAGCGGTACTTGATCATGTGTTGAATTTGGCGTCGCACTGTTGTCGTTTACGTTAGCTTCAGTACTGGCAAGAGAAGCAAATAAGCAGTAGGACAGCGCGCACAGCTGCTCATCCCCCGTTCTCACAAAAAAAACCAGGACGCAAGAAACTTACTAGTCAGTCCAAAGAGAATCAACCAGTAGACCACCAACACGGGCCAGAAAACGGGCAGGTTGAAAATCTCCCACCAGCTGCAAAAGAAGCCAATGGCGATGGCCTTGGTGGTCGAGTACCAGAACTTGAACTCGGGCAGTCTGCGCACAAAGGGGCGGAACTCTTGGTCTTCGTTTGTGGGCAGGCCCGAGGCGTTGCCGTCTTCCATGCCTTCATCCTGCTCGAGGGCGGGGTCGAATTTGGGCGAGAGGAAGGCGAGGAAGAGGTTGAGGAGGTAGATGCCGAGGGAGTATGCGACTGCAATTGGGGTTAGTGGAATGGGCGTGGCAAGAAGGGTAGGAGCGGGTGTGGTTGTGTGAAGTGGTGGTGAGCCTGTGAAGGGGGAAAAGGTGGCTTCTGGACGCCGTGTGCAGCGAGGGCGGATAAGCAACATACCAATGTACCAGCCCTGGGCAAAGAATATGCGTAGTCCAAAGGCGATGAAGAGCGCGGCTGTTCCAGCCCAGCGGTAGGTTGCGTACGGCGTTGATTTGTCGAGGTAGGTTTGATACAACTGTTTATATCAATCAGCACACAATTGCGCCGATACTTCCACGCACAGCCTTCCCATCTCGCCCTCAACAGGAAAAACCGAGAGAATCCCAAGGGCGCGCGTACAAGGAGCAGTCAACATACCCTCCCATATTTGGTCGTCTGCGCCGTAACCGCCGCAAAAGGGGTATCAGGCTCTGGTGAATCCATTACTGCTGCCGTCGCTCGCTCGTACTGTCGTTACCGTGTCCTTGGTGGAATCGCGATGGCGATATCGATCCTAGCCCGGCCGCGCACGTGCAATATCTGGGTTGGGAGAGCGAGCGAAGTCGTTTGGAAGAGCGAATGGCCAAAAGGTGGTTCTTTCTTGCTGGCGATGGATTGTTTGTTGAGGCGTCGTGTCAAAAAGTTGTAGGTTGGGGGAGTCTTGTCGCAAGGCTTAGTCGGCCGCCCGCCACTGCGCTCAACGCCAAGTGGCTGGACGCGGCTAAGGGACGAACGCGGCCCTTTCGAGCCTAGCGTCTGTTGGCAACACACGCGACGCATTTGGCCCTTTAGCGCGGGGGAGGGAGTCGGCGCGCGGGTGGACCATGTAGCCGAGGTGGCCGATGCTACCCACTTCACTCCACTCCACTTGCTGGATGGATGCTAAGATGTAGTTCACTGCCATACACTCCTATCGAAACTTCTTTCTAGCTTGTACGCTTGCTTCCGATGCAATTGCATTCCTGCGCCTTGGTGTTTTCTCTTTGAAAATTTATAAACAGGCAGTGCAATTGTCCAACATACACCCAACATGCATGCACTTCGCTCATCAGCGAGGGTAGCCTCCCGCTTTCAAACAACACGTCTACCCAGGTTCGTGCGATCATACTCCGCATCGGCTGAGACCGAGTTCAAAATGCTCCTTCTCTCGAATCCTAAGCCCGGCGTTGGCCTCGGTAAGTCCTCAAGTTCTCCCACACCATCTCATACCAACAAAACCTAACACCCATCCCAAAGTCCAGCTCAACCGCCCCGCAGCCCTCAACGCCCTCGGCACCCCCCTAATCCTCGAACTCAACCAAGCCCTCCGCGCCTACCAAGCCGACAAAGCCATCGGCGCCATCGTCCTCACCGGCTCAGAAAGAGCATTCGCAGCAGGCGCGGACATCAAAGAGATGAAGGACCTCAGCTTCAGCGACGCCTACGGCAAAGACTTCATCGAATCCTGGTCCGACCTCGTCAGCTTCCTCAAGAAACCCCTCATCACCGCTGTAAACGGGTACGCGCTCGGCGGAGGCTGTGAACTCGCCATGATGGGCGACATCATCTACGCAGGCCCCAAAGCCGTCTTCGGCCAGCCCGAAATCAAACTCGGCGTCATCCCCGGCGCAGGCGGCTCCCAGCGTCTGACCCGCGCAATTGGCAAGTCGAGGGCCATGGAGGCCATTCTCACGGGCGACAACATCCCCGCCAAGCAAGCGGCCGAGTGGGGGCTCGTGTCCAAGGTGTTTGACTCGCCGCAGGAATGTGTAGACGGCGCTGTTGCAACGGCAGAGAAGATTGCGTCATACAGTCAGATCGCAGTCAAGGCATGCAAGGAAGTAGTAAACAAGAGCCAGGATCTAGGTCTTCGCGAGGGTGTCGAGTATGAGCGGAGAGTGTTTCACGGCCTGTTTGGCAGCCAGGATCAGACGATTGGTATGGCGGCTTTTGCGGCCAAGGAGAAGCCCAAGTGGACGAATAATTAAAATAGATGGAAATGTCTTGCATGTATAATGAGATGATATTTAACAAAGGCCATGGCATCATGTTCACACACTGAGTCCTAACCCTACACCCAAGTCTAAAACAAAACCCTCCAATCCAACCCAAACCCAAGAAATAACTTTAATGAGGTCAGGTTAGAAAATAATCTTGGTATTCACGCATGGTGCGTGTGGGCATGGCGCTGGGAAATGTACCTGTTATGCGGAGCTAGTTTGAGTTTGAATTTGAATTCAAGTTCACTAGGTTAGGTTGAGTTGAGTTGAAGTTGAACTGAGTTGCGTAAAGGGAGGACAGAGAGAACCGCTACCAGACAAGAAAGAGAAAACATGGACATGAGCCATATTCTACCAGGAAGCCATCAAGTTAAACCATTTGAATTCTGCAAGAGCTAGATCAAAACATGTATGCACACAACAGATTCGTGAATACACCCTACCCTCCCCCGCCAGCATGTCGCCAAAAAGAAACTTCCTACCCACTCCCCATGACCGACCACACATAGCCCGTTCGTAGAATGCATGCCAAAGCATCACGGTCTTTTGACCTCCTTCATCACCATCTGCACCACACTTATCCTTCAAAACTTGTAACAAGAAGGAGAAACATGAACATGAAATCGGTGATGAATTAGAGGGAAATGACGACATCTACCTCTCTGGATCCGTCCTGCCCCGCATGCACAGTGACTGAAATGGAAAAAATAATGATCAGGAAAACAGAAGAGTGCCTGAAAGCCCCAAAATATGCCCATGCCAAGTCACTCCCTGGAAAGCGGTTGGTATGAGCCCGTACTCTTCGTCTGCGCATGAACCGGAACGCCTTCATGTTTGGTAATAACCCTGCCTGCAAAGAAGAAAAACCACCTGTAAATGGTCGACGTCCCGAAACATGGGATAGGCAGGCTACAGGGTGGAAGAAAGACACCAAACCTGATGGTTCCTGCCCAATCGACGAAAAGGTACTTTTGATTTCGCCAGTCTCGAAAGCCGCGTGGAAGTGAAACCCGCGAGGTGCAGAACAATGCGCGCTGAAAATGCCCCGGTCTATGCAACGAAACAGGTGATTAGATTACCGCGTGCGGTGTGTCGTCTATGGGTATAAACCATCACGCGCTCCATAGAAGAAGGTAATCACTCGGAAGGCTTGGCCTCCGTCTCTGCAGTAGACTCTTCTGCAGCGTGGGATGGAGAGGCCTCGGCCATGTCGTTATCGAGCGCTGCCAAGGCACTGTGACATGTTAGCAATCATCGTCCGAAAACATGGCCGGATAGCTTACCTGAACGCATTCGCATGAGCAGCTGGCTCCTTCTCCTTTTGTGTAGGTGGTGTGGCAGTCCGCGAGGACATGCCAGACTCATCACCGCGACCTCCCATCATGCCAGGGCCAAGACCACGACGGCCACTGCCACTGCGATTACCGAGCATGGATGGACCCAGTGGCCCTGCGTTGTTTAGGTTACGTCCAGAAGCACCCTTGGACAACTTGCGGAGATCATCCATCTGCACACGACCCCCGTTGTCGGGAGGCGGTGGCATGCCACCGCCAGAGAATGAGCGAGCATCGCCACGGCCCATGGGTAGACGTCCACCACCACCGCCGCCGCCACGCTGATTCGAGCGCGTGCGTTCCATCTCGGCTGCTTGTTGGGCTGCAACGGCCTCTTGGTGAATCTCTGCGATGGTCTTGGGGCCCTTGAGCACATCCTTGGACTTCCAGCCAGACTTGCGCATGTCAATCGTATCGAGCAACATGAAACGCATACGCGATGGGAGTCCTTCCATGTTCATGACCTTTTCGATGCGTTCAAAGTACATGTTGATCATCTTGGGACCGGCCTCGGCAGATTCCATGGTCTGACCAACAGTGCGAAGCAACTTGACCAAACTCTCAATAGCAGCTTCATCAGGGAGTCCTTCAAAATCAAGAAGCTTGAGGACACATTCGTGCATGATGCGAAGCGTCAACATGCCCAGCTTGTACAGCTCTCCGATGAATTGAATGAGACCAAGACCCTTTCGCTTGGCGGCCGCAGCGATGTAATAGTCATCGGACAGCAACTGAGCCTCCTTTCCGTCCTCTGGAGCCTCGGGCAGGTTGACTTCCCAACCACGCTCAAACTCTTCTTGACAGCGGTTGAGAAGATACTTTCGGAAGAGAGCACCCCCGACGACGGGCTGGTTGTGCTTGTCGCGGACGTTTTCATCCTTGATTTCAGTGCTCATGGTCTGAAGCATACGGCTACAGAATTTGGCATACATGGAAGACCAATGGGACTCGTCGCAAGCCTTCTCGAATGTGAGTTGAATGACTTGTCGAAGCGTACGACCATCGGTCTCGTCCTTGGACTGAGCAGCAATCTCCAGGATCTGGTCCGAGATCTTGTCAAACTTCTCGGGCGTCATCTTGTTGAGCGCAGCCTTGACCTTGCGTTGCACCATGTCCGGTGCCATGTGCCCGGCAGCCATCTGAGCCTGAACCTGAGCAGGCTGCGTGACCGAGGGTGGTTGCCATCCAGTCTTGGACCGTTCGAGTGCCTTGACTTCCTGACCAGCGGTGAGGGGCATCTGAGCCGCCTCGCGACCTTCGTTCTTGCCACCACCACGACGACTGCCACCACCAGCTCCACCCTTGCCACGTGAGCTACCAACACGAGGAGAGTTGGGGCCACCGTGGGGCATGGTCGTGTACGAACCAGTACGAGCCATTGGAGGAGCCATAGGGAAGGCACCGGTGCGATTACCACCGCCCATGACATGTTGAGCAAGAGGGTTCTGCATTGAGCCGCCGCGATTGGCTTGTTGGAAACGCTGTTCAGAAGTCGTGCCTGGCGCGAGTGTGCGGCTGGTGTTGAAGCTGCCTTGGAACTGGCCCATGACGTTGCTGGTGGCATTACGGGAGCCCGTGCGGCTACCCATGCCGGCACCACCACCAGGGCGGGCAGAGGGCGGACCGCGAGCAGAAGCTGGATCGTCACCAACCGTCTCCTTGAGCTTCATGTCCCAATCAGTGGATGGCTTCTCCTTGAAGACCTCCTGGAACTGGAGCAAGAAGTCCTTGTCATATTGACGGCCCTTGCTCTTGGTGCTGAGGTTCAAAGCAGGGTTGGGCGACTGGATGCCCTCAGGGTACTTGACAAGCTCCGCCTTGACTTGCAAGAAGCGTGCAGACTTGAGCGCCTGCATACCAGCAGTGGGCTGTGCGGGTTCGACCGTCTTATTGGTCTCGAGCTTCAAAGCAGCTGGCTTGGACTTGGTCGCGCTGAGAGGCTTCGAGGGAACAGGAGCGGCAATAGGAGCTGCGGCAGGCTCGACCGGTGTGGAGTCACCGCTGGTCTCACCAGCGAGGTTGGCACCTGGGCCAAACTGTGTGTTCTTCTTCAAGCTGGCGAAGAGATCCTTGTTCTTGGCTTCACGCTCAGCCCTCTGCTCAGGAGTCTCGGCTTCACGAGCGGCCTCTGCCTCTTCAGCCTCACGCTCGAGTTTGCGGAGACGTTCCTCCTCTTGCTTGATCTTTTCCGCGGCATTGGCCTTTTCAGCTTCAGCCTTAGCTTTCTTTTCCTCGGCATAACGCTTCTCGTCAGCCTCGCGCTTGCGCTCTTCTTCTTCCATCTCGGCAATCATGCGCTCCATCTCTTCGTCTTCGAGACGCTTCTTTTCGGCCTCGTCATCCTCGGCTTTTGCAGCGGCATCGGCAGCTTCCTTGTCTTTCGTCTCTTGGGCGGCCTTTGCTTCGGCGTCCTCTTTGGCCTTTTGCTTGGCTTCAGCTTCAGCCTTTGCGTCAGCCTCTGACGTATCCTTTGCCTTCTTGTCGGCCTCTTCCTGGAGACGAAGAGTCTCCTGGAACTGTTTGACAAACTCGGCCTGCTTCTTTTCCTTTGCCATCTTAGCGGCATCATCAGCCGATACCGAGTCGGTGGCACTAGGAGCACGTGGCGGCGGAGTGGGTGTAGCAGCAATCGCGGGGGAACGGGGAGCGGCAGGTGGAGCGGCGACAGCAGCTGGGACAGGTGAGGCGGTACCCTTTGGCTTGGGAACGTCGACAACCCCTCCCTCGGGATTCTTGATGACAATGGCCTTGCTCTGTTTCTTCGGGCGCTCAAAAGTGGAGCCAGGAACTGGACTTGCCGCAGTCACGCTGGGTGTATGGGTGTGCGAGATGTGGTTGACATTGGTCATCGCAGGCGTGCTGGGTTGGGGAACGGCAGACTGTGGACGCTCGGACATGTTTGAGGGGGTCCGCGACATGCCTGGAGCTTGAGGTGGTTGGCCATAGGGAGCAGCAACGCCGTAGGGCATTTGTGCGGGGAAACCATGGCCGCGATTGGGGCTCGCAGGAACACCGGGGTAGTGAATCGACTGCTGCAGACCATAACTCTGGCCGGCGTAGTAGTTGTTGTATGGGTCGAGACCTGGCCCGCCCATGCCGTACATGCCAGGTTGAGGGTACTGCTGGCCTGGGTAATAAGGCATACCTTGAGGATTGGCGAGATGTGCCTGTTGGTGCATGGTAGCGGGTGTGATGGCTGGGCTGCGAGTCTGGCGGTATGGCGAGCCCTGCTGCTGCATACCCTGAGGCTGGAAAGGCGGTGGCATCCCGCGACCCATCTGCTGGTGAGGTAGGGGACGGTAGGGCTGCGGTGAGTGGTTGGCCATGTTTGGGTTGTAGTGTTGCGGCTGGAAACCACGGCCGCCACGGCCAGCGGCGGGGGGGTAGCCACGGCCCATGTTTGCGTTGCTCATGTCACTGTGCGCAGAGTGCGAAGACTCGCGGCGAAGGTGCTGAGCCTGTGGGATGGCGTTGGGTTGAGGGGGCATGGGAGGGCGGGACTGTATGTGTCGAGATTCGTTAGATTCATGGCAAAGTTTAGCAATGGGGAGAGGTTCGGAAATCGTCAGAGACATGGGAAATTGTGGCAGGGTACAGGCAGGGTAAGGTTTCGCGTGCGAACTTACGTTAGCTTCGTTGCTGTCACCGCCTTGGCCACCGAAGACCAGATTGGGGCGTGTAGGCAGTCCGTCGGGCTTGGGTCCCCCCGAGATAGGCGTGGGGATGGGGGAAGGTGAATGCGCTGGCGAGGCAATGCGCGGATTTTGCATTTGTGGGTTCAAATTTCCTTGGACGGCGGGCGATGCGTGCGCAGGCGCAGGCGAGGCAGCCAGCTGGCCAAACTTGATGCCAGAGGGTGGACCCGTGGTTGGGGGCGTCTGCTTGATGTGCACCGAAGACTTGCGGTTGTGGTCACCGCCGTTGCCATTTGGGCCGCCGCTCACAATGGTGGGCATGGCGGGAACGACAGGCTTGATGCTGCTGCTGCCGTTGACGGGGGAAACGGACGGGGCCTTGCCATGGTGCGCCGTCTGCGGGCCTCCCACTACCGGCGGGGTTCCGCTGCTGGCGATAATCGGATCAGAGATCTTCTTGGTCGCATTGGCGTAGGAACTGCGGGTAGCGGGCTGAGCCGATCCAGCGGCCACGGTGGCGGACGATCCTGCAGAGGAGCTGTTCGCGGGCGTAGCGGTCGAGGAAGCGGCAATCGAAGGAGTTTGCGTGTTCGAGGCGGAAGTACTCATGGACTCGGTGGGTGGCGTGAGGCGAGGCGGGCGTGCAGTGGCCTGCGCAGTTGTGAAGAGCCTGAGCGCGTGCGAGTGGGTGGTGGTGGGGGGTGCGAATGTACGATTGTGAGTGTGGGTGTGGATGTGGATGTGTGTGGGAGTGTGTATATGTGTGTGGGAGTGTGTATATGTGTGTGTGTGTGTGTGCGCGTGGGTGACGTAAGGCGCGAGAATCTCAGATCCAGGCGACGAGCAAGGCTGCAGAATTAAAAGAGACTCCGGTGAAGGCGACTCGAGGGTGAAGCAGCAGAATCGAAGGCGAGGAGTAGGAGGGGGGTCCACTGGAGAGAGAGAGAAGGGTGGGAGGGCAAATACTATAGTGTCTGTGTGGATGGGTTCGACTCCTTTGGGAAAGGGCGAGGGAGCTGTCCGAGCGCTTCAACGAAGAAGGTGGTCGAGACAGGTGTCCGAGGAGGGGAGAGAGGAGGATTTCGACAGGAGTCCTGTGAAATGTGCAAGCGACTCTTGAAAAGAAGATCGCTGCAGATGGTGGTGGGATGTCTTCAGGATGAAGAGGTGGTGGTGGCAGGAATCGAAAATTGTTTCGACTGCGGGTTGAGTGCCAATAGACTAAGCCGCAACAAGGATTATGCCTAGCCGAGCCCTTGTTGTGGGAGAAGTGAGAGTGTGAGAGGCTGGCCCGAGTTGGAACATGAAACCTCTGCTCCAGTCATCTATTTATTTGTTTTTACTTGTTTATTCACCCGCTATAGTTAACTTTGTCTCTCTCTCTCTCTCTCTCTGTATATACACATCTTCTAGAGACCGTCCATGTGTGTGTGTGTGTGTGTGTGTGTGCAGCCACTCGACTCTAATGGCTGTTGTTGGTGAGTGAGGGGCAAGCAAGGTGCATCATCATCCTCGTCATCATCATCGTGCCTGCCGTTTCTTCGGAAATACCGGGCAAGAGCGAAGAGCGAAGAGGGAAAGAGGGGAAAGAAGGAACAGGTACACCACATTGCCTCACCAAATCTTCATTCATCATCCATCCCTCATCACCTCATCCTCATCATCATTCTTCTCACTACTCACTACTCACTCATCACGTAGAGAATTAGTAGGAGTAGTACTGTAATCGTTACTTACTCACCCCGACCTGGCGGCACTGAGACTAACATGGTCCAATACTTAACATTGTAATGTGCTGTGCCTGTCTGTCTCTACCTAGATACTCACGATAGGTTAGTCATGTGTTTTCTTGTGTCCAACTTTCTTCGCCACCTACCTCTAGTCCCTCCCTCTGATTTAGGTATCCACGCCACCTCAGCGTCTATCCTATCATCTCTCTCTCTCTCTCTCTCTCTCTCTATCTCTTCGCCACAGAACTCTCTCATCGCAGGCAAACAAGCAAACAACAGTCCAAGACGTCGCAAGCCGCCTCGTCTCCGTCACATCCCAAACGCATCCCGCGGTGACTTGCCAATCACCATGGCCCGCTTCTTGGTCGCCTGCTCGCTCGCCAGCGAACCCTGGGTCGCACAGACGAGCACAAGTCGCTCGCTGCTACTGGTACCTACACCTACCTACCTAGCTCCAACAAGCCACAAAAGGCACAAGCAGAGACCACGGCGACCTTCAGCACGATGCACATTGTGACACTGAGTCCAGACCTTGTCCTGTGTTTGTGTGTGCTGTACAATACAATAATAAGGACCACTCGTCTCCCCCGCTCGCTCGCCGCATTCGAGAAATCAAGTGTGTCTGACGTCTTTTCTGGGCGTGTAACGGTATACGGTTATGCACAATGACGGGGTCTTCAGTTGTTCGCCTTGCCCGTTCACGTGTTAAACGTGGGTTGGGCTTCTGGGCTCTTTCTCCTTGCTGTTCGTGGCTGCTGACATAACACCGCCGATTACCGATTACCTGACCGAGCTGGCCCTCGCCCAATCGACAGCCCTACTGTTTCCTTCAAACTGCCCTGGCCCCTAGCCTTCCATTGCTACTTACCAAGATTTGCCCTTCATGGTCAGCCTTAAGCTTCGTCTGGAATATGATGAGGCGCATTTTGACTCGAACACGGACAACTTGGGGCAAATGGTAGGTACGGTACATTACCTACAGGCTTCAAATTCAACTGCATAGCTACCATCCGTACTGGTGTGGCTGTTGTTACTGCCCGAGGGCCCCAAGAGGCCTGCAAGTTGCGCCGTGGCACAGGATACCTACACAGTACCGGTACAGGTTCCCTCGTGCTTTTGAAAGGAATTCCATTGGACAAAACTTCTTTGCCACATCACAACGCTGACCATCTTGAAAGAATGACACCGACGTGTATATACGGATCCTGTTGGTGTACAATGACTCCAACCAAAAACAACAATGCCATTCTCGAGTCATACGTCAACATGTGCCTGACATCTCCTTCTTGTCTTGTCCAAAAGAAAGACATGACATGCTCTCATGCTTTCACCCGTATCTTATCTTTGGAATTCAAACTAGTGGCACTGCAGCTGTAGTAGTCCCACAACCGTTGTTGCGCAAAAGATTGGAGAACCCGCAGCCGGCAGGCGGCAGTCTCATGCAGTGTGCCATGTTGTGCCATTGGCTGCGCCTGGCATAGGGAATGGCTACACAGCATGGCTGTCGTGTCAAACCTTTCAGACTACTTGCCCCTAGCCCGACCATCTGATGCCTCTGGCGCATGCAATGAGCCGTACTGTCATGTACACTGGCCTTTTTCCCAATCCGCTCTTGTGCAAGAGAGATCCTGTCACTCATACCGACGTTCGATCAGTGTCGTAATTCTCCGTGGGGCTCTCGTATCACACACATCGATCGTACAGGTGTGTGGGACCGGCCGGACTGATTGCACAGTCATGGTCGCTGGGAAAACTTCTTCAAGCAGGTCTCGCAGGCGCGTAAACAGCAAGGCCAATGGCCATGGGCATGTGCATCGCCGCAAAGGACTGCTGACTGACTGGCCTGGTTAGCAGACTGGCCTTGCTAAGGCAAATCCTGCTGCCATCTGCTTGTCGCATCAAGAAAGTCATCCTCTCTCGGCCCTGTTGTGCCGTGGTAGTTGGGTAGATCGTGTTGCGCTGGCGTCGTTCCCCATACTTCAAGATCCATCAATCGCGTGCCTCGCGGCTTTTCGCCGTGATGCGCATACTTGTCCGTCCGTCCACGATGCTTGAGGGAGGGAAATGATGAAGGAAGAAGATATGTCGCAGAGTCCGCACCGAGTTCCTAGAGGAAACCTAGGTTGCCGGGGGGGGGCCGCAGAAATCCCACCTCTCATCATCGTTTTCACACACCCACACACCGAGTCTACCCAAGGCCCAAGCCGGCACCACCCATAGCCAACCCCAGCTTTCAAGCCCATCACCTTCCACAAGTCGCACGTAGGCTCGGCCTGCCAAGGGAGCGCAAGAGAAGGCTTGTCTGATGACGCTGGTGGCTCACGGCCTTGTACCCTCGATGAACCCACCTCGCCGTAGTTGCGCAGATGCATCCTTAAAACGGGGGAGGGAGGGACCACCTCGGGCACTAACGGCGCCTCTCAATCCTTTGGCGCTGAAAGGAAGAGGCAGGTTGGAGTCAAAACCGACTTCGCATGAACCTGACTAGGAGCACCTACACCCACCTTTTGTGTCGCTGGGTGTGCCCATGGCTGTTTGACACAGAGGAAGGATCTCTTTGATGCAGAAGGACGGATCTATGTGTAGGTATGTATGTGTGTGTGTGGAGCATAGATAAATATCGCTTTGGTTGGAAGCCAGCCATGTTTGAGAAAGGAACACCCTGTTTGGTGTAAAACAACAAGATTAGGACACGATTCTACTCTGGCCGTCTACCGTAGTTCGCTTTGTAACGTGGTTACGTTTTTTTTTTGGTGTTTGCATTGTAGTTTCTCGTCTCGCTCGCTCCCAGTTGCCTGATCTTACCAACGCATTCATGCTCGAGCACCAGATCGGACCGGCTTCAGGGCCAATCTTGGCTGGTTCAACCGTTCAAGAAGGTATCGCAAAAGCATGGCGGCCCATTCTCCTCGACCCTCCACCCCTCCACCCCTCCACATTGGCGACGCGCTTCTGACCTGCCAACTTGCCAGCGTGCCAACACCTGCCGCTCCTCGGCTGACACACTGAAAGAGCACATCTCTAAGCCACGATGCTGTCACCGCTACCAAACTCCACACCCCACAATGGGTCCTCGAGTACCCATACCCATGCCATGCCAAAGCATGCAAGACTAGAATGTCAATAGTTCTGGTCCCCTCCTTGGTCCCACGCGCATTCTACCTGTAAACCCTGTTCCACCAATCGCTTACTAGGTTCGCCATTCACTCCGTTCCCTAACAGGGCAGCTGGTATTCAACCGCAATGGACCAATCGCATTCTCGCATCACCAGCACCCCGTGCCAACACCACCACTTGCGCAAGGCTGACCGATTTCAACCTTCCCATGCTCCTCACGGCTTTGACCTGAACTTGCCTCTCCCGTCTTTTCGGCTCTTGAAGGGTGGCCAATGGGTTTGTCGGCAAGCTAGGTATCAGCCAGCAGCATCACCCGCAGCAGCTCTGGCTGGCAAAAATCTTCCTGTCGAACCGTCTGAATTCAGCCGGCATGGACAGCCATCGGATGTTACTTGCCTGCCCATGCTCGCTCCCTTCAGGCACGACGTTCCGGATTCCATCCCCCGAGTCATTCCACGATATGGGGGATGTGACGATGGCGTTTGTACCTGCACCTCACGGACATTTGCTTAGTACCATAGCGTCCATTTTGCCTCTCTAGCTTCCGGTCCTATACAGCGGTTAGCCAAGCAGCGCGAACACCAAGCTCGAGGGAGGAGTGGAGGAGAAAGGTTGGATAGACAAAAGCAGCGAGTGGGCTAGCTGCATGGACGTGTTATGCACATGATGCCGTGTGCAGGAGCTGAAGCGGCAGAAACTTTCGGATCAGCGTACCGCGTAGCGACACCACCTCTTCGTAAAGCAAGCGCTGCGTGGTCCTTCTTCAGCAATGACTGCAGCTGTCCTGGGCGGGGTTCCTCCATGCCAGTATGGACTGTCCGTGGTGAGCTGTGGTTGGAGCAAGTGATTTTGACAGTCAGCTTGACTTGAATCTCCATGGATGACGACCATGTGACCAATGAACCTCGAGCTAAAGCTCTGGCTGGGCAGTGACTTGCAACTACATAGGTACATTTCACGATGGTAGTACTACAACCGCTCAAGGCGTGCCTGATCACACCGCTATGGAGATGCATGAAACCAGCCTCATTGCCCACACCCTCATTCCCGTACCCAGCAGATCAACTAGATCACACGCCCATCCTCCCCCAGATACTGCAAGTCAACCCAGCGCCTCCATCCCCTCCAGCCATCCGCCCATCCCTGCACCTCCCCTCCCATACCCCATGCCAACGACCTTCTCGAACCCGCCTGAAGGCCCCCAAGTCTTGCCGCTTCCAATCATCCAATTCGTCACCACCGTCTGCCCACAAAAATGCCGAGCGTTGGATTGAGCCTAAGATCTCCTCTTGTCTTTTGGCAAACTTTGCACCTGGCTCACCGCAGCCCTCCATCCTTACCCTACTCACCTCTAGCAATCTATCTCGCAATCTACCCAACGGTTCCTGTGCCAGCCAGCCACGCACAAACCACTACTTTTCACGTCGCCCCCCATGGTGTTAAGATCTGCACCTGGCATCATATTCCTCGCGAGCGAAGAGATTTCATCTCGGTGACATGCAGAAGCTTTGCCACCCCCTTGTCAAGTCTTCGTCCTTCCCCCTCCCCACCTCCTTCATGGCCGCGGTACATGGCCAGCTCTGCAGCCGCATACCGAACCCATGCAGCCGCCAGCTCACCAGTACGTGCCCCATAAGCACACCCGCAAATTGCAAACCACAGTATCAGTTTGTCCGGACCCAAGGGCACAACAGCCGCGATTGCATCTGGAAGAGACGTTTGTGTACGTATTCAGTAAAATGAGTGTGTGTACATGGTTGCTGGATGACTCGGTCAGTTGTAGTGGAAGTACCATGGCTTCTCTATGTAGCACACTCTATTAAATCAATTATGGGAACACGATAAACAACACCTGCTCCCACCTCACCTCTTATCATAACTCCTCCTCCTCCTCCTCCTCCTCCTCCTCCTTCTCCTCCTCTTCACATAATCTCCCCCTTCCCCAGCAAACCCAGAAGAGCCTCAAACGCTGCTCATCCTCCCCTGTCGCATCTCCCCTTTTCCTTCTTGCTTGCTCGCTTCTGCATTTAGCCACCGCTGTTGTCCATACAAGTGGATTTCTGTATATACGCTATATGCTATAGCTCGCTCGTGCCTTACTAGCCACCAATTCAGTGCGGAAGTACAAACTAACCTACTCTGCCTTTGCACACTCCCCACCCCCGTTCCTTTCCCCACATCACACACATGGCGAACAACGCATCCTGCATCCGCCATATGCTTGTGCTTGTGCTTGTGCTTCTACCTGTCTGCACCCTCGGTTCCTGAGCCTGAGTAGCCGGAATGTGGGTCGTGAGCTATGCATTATGCATGGATTTGTTCTTGTTCTTTTCCTTGTTCTTGTTCGGTGCAGAATGCAAGTCACGCAAGTCCTGCAAGTCCATATATCTCCCATAGCAAGGTCTCCCCCCCCCCCTCCCGGGGGGCTAATCTATGCACTTGCTGGCTGCTAGCTGCTGGTCGCTGTAATTTCGCATCTGGACATCTGTACCCCACAGATTTCGGCTCATGTGATGGTTATAGGGCGGGGCTGGGGTTCGGGGGGTTTTAGGTTTGGGGGAAGTGGAGGGGGGCGGAATGGGGTCGGGTTGGGGATGTGTACTGTATCTTATGGGAGGGAAGAAAGGGGGGTTTGGATATTGTGGGTTGGGGGGATGGTTGAGAGGAGGGGCGGGGGAAGAAAGGAGTTGTGGTTCTGAATATCAGTTTTTTTTTTCTTTCATATTGGATAGAGGGATACGTTTACTCAGTATAATCCAGTACATACAAACACACACATAAAAACTAAAGACCAAAAAAAAAGACTACCATCACATATCCCCCATAACCCCACAACCTCACCAGCCCTCCACACCCACATCCCCAAACCTGCCCAATCCAATGTAGCAACAGACCACACAAGCAACCAACATTGCCAAAAACCCGCCCATTCTCCCACCTCGCTCTCCCACCACAGACCACAGGGTTACTCCGGACCGCGGACCCCAGGATCCGATAGTATGGGTTTGACCTGTGATGCGGGGCTAGTGTGTACGCTACGTTACGTTACGGTGCTGTATGTAGCGTACGCGTAGAGGGGCGGGCGGTTGGAGGGGCGGGTTTCAAAGGGGAGATGGTGGTTGTGGGCTAGGTAGTTAGTGTAGTGTACGGTAGCGTTGAGCTAATTGGCCAGCTTGCAGGTTGTAGGTTTCCCTGCATTGGGGGGGTTGACTGTGCCTGGGTCCAGGGGGAAGTTTGTTTTATGTTTTGTTTTGTTTTGTTTTTTTGTTGCAGGGTTGGGGGCGGTTCTGGCTTGGGGGGGTTTGGGGAGGGTGGTGAGTGGGCTGTTTCTTGTGTTGGGGGTTGTTTTCTTTCTTCTGGCTTGGGTATACTGTACGGTAGGTATGGTAGATATTTCCTAGCGTACCGGTCGGTGGAGAGACTGAGAATGCGGCTGCTGCGATCGGCCGCTTGCTTACCTGCTCGCCTGCCTGTCTGCTTGCTGGCCCTGCTGGCATGTCTGCATAACCCAGGCCTGCCTGACGCGGGAAATGGTGGGGATTCTTTTCGCCACGGGGAAGATGGGAGTAGTACAGATTGAATGTGGGGAAAGCAGGTCATCATCATCATCATCATCATCATCACCGATGCAGCTTTGATGTTTCTTGTTTGGTATAGTTTGAGTAGGCCGTGATTTGTGTTGATTTGTCTACAGACGATAGTTTTGTGGTCGATGGAACAAAGTAAGAGATGTATGAGCAACAGTGTATAGAAGCGCCGCCCCCGAGAAAGTAAAAAGAAAACCGGTCCAAAAGTCCAAAAGTCCTACTGCTCAAGTTTGCAAAAGGCAGTGGCGTGGTAAAAATACGTACGAAGAAGGGTATAAACCAGGAGTGCCATCTCACTTCCATCGAGGAAAACAAAAACAATAGCCAACTGCCAGCCTGTTCCCATGTGGGAAACTTTCCCATCGTTGTGATGATAATAATATATGGATACAACCGCCAAAAAAAAACTTTCAGATAGTGCGAGACTGGTATCGCAGAAGGGGATGTAGAACAGGGCATTCGTAACATCGTTCCAGTCGAAAAACATCGCCACTGGCGAAACAAAAGCTTACACCAGAGGTTGTACTGCCCGGGAGGAACGATCGCTATAATCAATGCGCGCCAACGCCTGTCAACCCATACAATGAAGCTCAGTATCGGTCGTCACGACCATCGCTGTGCTGGCTGGCGTTCTCTAGTACTTCTCCCAAGACAGAGCCGACGTTGTCGTATTGGCTGTTGTGTGCCGAGTCGTTGCGTAGATAGGAGTTTGAGAAGCTCGTGATGTGATGCGGGGCGCTCATTTGAGGCATCGCATAACTATGTGGTGGCACAAGCGGTGAGCTGGAATATGATGGGAAATGAGCAGTCTGTGGTGTCGATGTGTTACGGTTTGGCGTGTAATGTGTGCTCAACTCAATACGCCGAGGGACGCCATTGGAAAATGAGCGCATCCTACCCGAGCTGGAAGCTTGGAAGCCTGGTACAGGAGAGTCTGATACAAGTTAGATGTGACGCAGGACCTGATGAGGTAGAAAACTTACAAGAGTATCCAATGCCATATGGCATCATCGAGGCCGAGTACGACCTTTGTCCGTCCTGATCATGGGAGCTGGTCAGGTGGTCGCTACCGCCAGTGTAGCTCATGCTTGTGCGTAGAGGAGATTGCAATGACTCGGCACGGCTTCTCACAATACGATCACCATGGAGTGTCAGGCGCGGCATGCTGTGTTGTGTAGCGTAAGCCGGTGTACCGTTGCTGGGCATCGAGAAAGGATTTGAAGTTCGCGGACTAGTATCAAGTGGCGCCGAGTGGAAGCCAAATGGCGACTCAGCATGAGCTGATACAGGCGACAGTGCATCTGTAGTTGATTGCGGCGGTGTGAAGGAGAATCCACCAAAGGCTGGACTAATGCCTGTTTGGGAAATGTGGGAATCAAGAGGTCCCCGTCTGAGTGAGTCAATGCTCAGGGGCCGCATCATGTTGCTTCCGGCAAAGCCTGGGTCGTAAGAGCCTGGAGATCCGAGGGGAGATCCGATGCCATGCGATGAATTTCCAAATGGTGAGTGAAGTGCCGAAGCCATGTCGAAATCATCTGGCAAAGCGCGAGATCTCATCATACGCTCACGATCATCGCTAGTGAGACGCTTTAGCTTAGCACGTCTGTGTGCCTAGTTAGTATCAGTTTCCTGTGTTGACTTTGAGCTGGCTTACCTGTTCTGGAACCACACTTGCACCTGTCTTGGACTGAGTCCTGGAATCTCGCGTGCAAGTCTTTCTCGGTGAGCAGCATCAGGGTGCGCCTGACGAGCAAACTCGCTCACCAGGAATCGTGTTTGGTTATGCGTAAGCCTGAATCTTTTCATCTTGCGTTTGGCGGCCCGGATCTCGGCGGCAGAGAGGGGTGGTCGGTCTTCGTCCTTCCCATCGCTTTCGCCTCCATCCTCCTTTTCGTCTACTATTAGATCGTCGTCGTGATCATCCATCTTCTCCACACCGTCATGGGTGGAGGGAGGAGTGAGCCTAGAAGCCGGACTTGTTGGGGATGAGCCTCCAAAGGTAACATTTGAAACATCGTGCTGTTCATTCTCTGATGGCGAATTCGCACCACTGTTCATGTGGTTCTTATTGTCGAGTAGGTAGGGAAAGCTCTTGTGTGATCGGATCATGGGTCGCTTCAAATCGAAGTTGTTACCGTCCACTTCGGCTTGGAGCATAGCCATGTCGCTGTCGGAATGCGGTGGGGTATGTTCCAGCGTCCTGACGTCGGACGATGACCACTCGTTGTCTGCAGTAGTCGTGCTATACGCAGACATGCGCGGCGAGCAAGGTGGAGACAAAGGAATGATGAAATTTCCGTCAACCATTGATACTTCGACGGAGGGTACAAAGGGTGAATGCTGTGTCGGCTTCGTGACCAAGCTGCGTACGAAAGCAGGAGTCGAGGAATGCTCACTCTTGGTTGGGTCGATGTGGATGTAGAGTGGGATTGAGAGCAATGTGTCGCCAAAGGGAACAGAAGACTCTCCCAGAGTGTCGATTTGTGTCCACAGTGGTTTGCCGCAAGCGGTCAGATTGCAGGTCTATCACGGATAAACAGATGGGGTAGATCCTGATCAGAAGCTTCAAGCGTGCTGATGGACGAGACCAGGCTGACAGGAAGATATCGCACCTCCAAGAGGATTGAGGCACGGAGGTTTGGTGCGACCCTGAGCCTGAAATAGAAGCTGCTGGGAAGGTGATCTGCGAGCCAAAAAAAGATCGATGTGGGATGAGGACGTGAAACGCTTGGGGCCGTGGGATGATGATGTCCGGCTTCTTCTTCTTGATAAGTGAAGGCGTTCGCTTGTAGTCGACGATCGAGAGCCCTTTGTAAGAAGACTCTGAAACCCTGGGGAAGCTATGGAAGCGATGGAAGCAGGGGAGGGGTACAGATCATTCAGATAAAAAGGCTTGACGGCACTCTACTGTCGATGATCCGGATAAAATCGAGGTTAAGAGAAAGTGCGAAGGCTAGGGTCAGACAATGCATGGACAATGGTCCCTCTTAGAGAAAGATGATATCCTTCGAGGATCTGGACGCAGCTTGTTACACGACGAGAAGCGTGACTGACTACGGGGACTAGCAGACCCCCGATGGCTCAGAGCACAGGGATACGGTAGCTCGGGACGTGGCCCTTCTGAAGAAGAGACGGAGCGGGAGCGGGCGAATCGAAGGGCTCTTGGATCAGGTGCCATGCCAGGGTACCCTCCTCGAACGAGAAGGGAGCAGTGCGTGAACATGGAGGGCTGCAGGCTACTTGCATAGACCAGGGCGTGTGGAGTAAAAACCGCCGACGGGCAAGGATCTCGTCCGTGGCGTGAAGCAATCGAACGTCGAGGCAGATGGGGTTGTCATCATTGGCTTGACGCGATGCGGGAGCTCCAAGGAACCCGCAGCAAGACAGAACAGGGATCTTACAAGGCTCTACACAGGGCTCGACAGGGCTCGGCAACGCTTGCATGGCTTGTGCGGGGTGTCGCTGTCAATGCTGCTTTTAGTCTGGACCGTGGTTAGACAAGAGGGCGGTGGTGTGTGGTGTGGTAGCCTAGGTAGGTAGGTAGGTAGTGAAGGTTGGACGCTGTGCTGCAAGACCTCGCGTGTGCTCCATGCTACTGTCGTTGAACCACCCCATTCACACAAGCCACAAGCATGTACATACTGCGGCATCCGTGTGAGCGCACCTATCAGCATACAGCCAAAGAATGTGTGGACTGCTTTCCCTCGCAGCTGTCATACTGACCACAGTTCGCAAATTGCGTCAGGAACGCGCTGCATCAGCCTTGTCAGTTGTTTGAGCCGCCCATTGCGCATGCTGTTGTGCATGCATCACTGTCCAGCTCTAGATGCCTTTTGCCGTCATGATGTTAGCAACTCGGCCAAAGGACAGCCGCTTGGCTGTATCTGTGTAAGGACTGCACACCTGCTTGACCAGGTCTTTCTGCGTCTTCAAGCGCCTAGCGATGATGGCGTCTCCAATGGGCAGCTCGTGCTGTGACGAGCGAGTACTATCTTAGGTCTGGTTGGACTAAACACGATCTAACGGCCAGAAGCTCGGCCCGCGCCGGGAAAATGCTGAAATGAGAACGTCGAAGCCAGCTTTGCGTAACGTGCTGTGGTGGTTTCTGTCGGTACTTGGGTGACAGGCGTGAACATCCGCGTTGCACCAGGGGCCCAAGACCTGCGACTTGAGTCTTTATTCTAGGACGCATATCGCTCGATGAGGCTGCGACGACGACTTCTTTACTTCTGCAGAAACGACAGCACAAGCCACCCATAGGCCATCCCGTGAGGCGCGGGAGGACGATCGTCGAAACCGAACCCTAAGATAGACCATACCCGTGCCAGATCACGTTAGCTAGCTATGGACTAACTTGGAGCGATGTCAGTCGAGCGACAGACGCACAGCGTTCGCCTCGGGCGGACGCATTGCCCGGTTAGTTTGGGTGTCATAGACGCACATGGGTAACCACCAGTGTTTGGGTCGTTTCGCCGCAAGAAAAAATACACATATGCAATCTCCAGGACTCTATGCCGAGCACGGCGTTGCGGTAGATTTCCAAAACACTGCCAAGCCCGTCACATTAGTCCGATGCGCACAGGCTGTGAAATGACAGGAGCAGGCGATAGCGAGACCACGGTATGTTTAGGTTGCGGGCCATTGGTTGGGGACGAAACAGAGTCTGTGGGTTTGATGGACGCATGGGTTGTGTGCTGTCGGCAACACATGCTCCAATTTTCAATGTTTGGTCCCCATTGACGGCACTTTCTTGGAATACACAACCATCCCATGGCAAGTGGAAGCAGTCCAGGCCCGCCGCCTTGCTGTGGATCGCAATCAGTCCCAGTGCATGTCTACCTACACGGCAGCGAAGCTCTCGAACGACGGGAGACGCTTGTGCCAGGTAGGACAGGGTCCCTTCATTTCGGAAGGCTGCAGCATCTCTCCATCTACGTGGATCGGTTGCTGACCACACACACGTTCAATGAGCCTGAACGTCGGTCAATAGCACGGCCCCATCGCCCGTCTGCTCCCAACCCTAGCAACACGACGGCAATTCTGCGTCCAACTCATTTCATGACTTACCAGGGAGCACCGTCATAGCCTGGTACTTTGGTCGTTACATCATTCATGCAATCCGGGGAATCAACTCCTGACCACGTGTTGAGTGAGTGAGTGTGAGTGTGTGAGTGATTGATTGATTGACTGATTATCCGAGAAAAAATGTCGGTACTCTTTATCTCCACATGTTGAGTGTGCCGCATCCTTACACTACAACGCCAGTCGTGGCGTAGGAGGCCGGGATTATGCGTGGCGTTTGGCTAGGACTCTTGCTTGAACTGGACAGAGCTGGAGATACTGTCGCCGCGGATCGTTCGGGGGAGAAATCCACCCTTGCTGCTTCCTCAATTCGTACTGGAAGATTCGATAGTAAGCGCCACAGCCTCCCCATACTGCACGTCATTGTAAGAAGTAAATGCCCTCGGCTGTCATGATGTGAATCGTTCCTGTACAGGCACATGTTGCCCCTGCTCTCACTATGCCGCTATATCGGCAGTAGTCACTTGATCTTGTTGGTCGGCCCGCAGCTCCTCGTCCTTCTTTTTTTGTTCTTGGTGTGGATCTTCCCCCTGTTCATCCGGAGAAGTGGGCAGGGTATTTTCGCCTGTAGCCTCATTGGCAGCAGTAACCGGCTGAAGAGCCTCCAGCCCTTTGCCATGCTCAATTCTATCGAATGTGCTTAGCTGCTTCTTTGAAGCCAAACGAAGGCCTCGCCAAACGTGACTTGAATTCTTTTCAGCCACCTGCCGCTTCTCCTCCTCTGTATCAGCCATGCCCAGATTCTGATCAGTCATACGGACTCGATCTGCATATGACTCTGCGTTTGGTACATTGAATCTGTCTTAGTTAGACTCTGGAATGGAATATCAATCGGGCCAACGGATGACGCACCTGTCACGCTGCCTTAGTTGCGAAAGCCCCTTTTCCGCCTCAGTGTTGTTAAGAAAATCCAAAGTATGAGGAACACCAAGGGATTTGGGGGCCTTCTTGCTCACGACAGCTCTCTGAGCCCCCGACTTCGCCTGGAGGAAGTCTTTTGCCGCCACTCTATCGCGAGTAAACGGCTGACAATTCTCCATTTTCCACCGTACCCAGTTTTTGTCACGGGAGAGCACGGTATCCACCATTCGATAGTAGAATTTGCCATCTGGGTCTTCCTGCAGGTAATTTGCGATGGCGCTCTTGATGCCCAATGCCCATTTAGTCTATGCTTAGTGGTCAGCCGAGGGGACGATGGACATGGTAATTGAAGGACGCATGTGAGCACATCCAGGCGGGGAAGAAAAGGGTGGCAAAAACTTACGTCGTCTTCGCGAAGTGTGAAGTTATACTGCATAGCCTTCTGGGCATTCTGGTAGAATGGCTGCTTCTTTGCGTCCTCTGTTAGCGTCAGAAGGAAATCGATGAGGATCAGTGCTTGAACTAGGATGTGACGCTGGAATGCGAGATCGCTCAGCTGTACGTTGTCAGTCAAAGCTTCCCTGGCGATGGTGGTAGTGCTAGCATACCTCGAGCTTGAAAAGATCGCGGCTTGTAAGGTACTTTGGGTTAAAAGTGCTTGTGAGTGCATCTTGATCGTCGTCTAAATGGAGCTTTTGTCCCTTCTTGCGCTCCGAGTCTCCAGATTGTATGACCTTTGGTACTTCCTTGAACTTTGCTAGAGTAGCATCCAAGCTCGTGCGGAATTGCTTGAAGTTATCCTCTTCGAAGAGCCTTGGTGGGTTCGAGAATGAGTGTTGTAGTGACCAGAATACCGGGTACAAAGCATCAAAATCCAGAGTTGATTTGGCATCTGTACTCTTCGTTGTCTCTGAAGAAAGTACTTCGTGTTCTGACGCTGACTCTCCGGTAGCAGTAGGCACAGTCTTGTCATGGTCCACTTCCATTAGATCGTCCACTTCATTTGACTCTTTGAGGAAATCCTCGAAAGTCGTTACGTTCTCCACATGAAAGTTGCCACGGAGGTTCACAGAGCTTTTATCCCCCAAAGGAAAACTCTGAAACATGAAGATGTATACACGACCACAGAATACCGGAGCCTCGGCTCGAGATAATCGTCGGAGCAACTCATTACACAAACGGAGGATGACGAGGTCTTTGTTCTTGGAGTTAATCTGAGAGGCTGTGAGATGGCGTATATGATAGAGGGCTGAGGAAAATTACAGCAATGATCGCTTCTCTGCGCGACTCAAGGAAGTTGAAGACTGTCCGACAGCCGGATATAGACTGGCTGTCTAGAAGCTCTTCGATGAGTAGCAGAACCAACTGCGGAGAACATAAGTCTGTTGCCGTCGTAAGTTGCCGAAAGCTAGATTGATGGGAATGTACATATACAAACCTCGATCTCCACAGTATTGCAGAATGTCGAGCAAGTTCCACACGGTAACAAAGCTTGGCTCATCAATTCGAGTGGATCCCTGAGCTTGTGAGAAAGGTACTTGACCTGAACGCGGAAAATTACCCACCAAATTTATGTAAAAAACGCTTTTCGCTGCACTCTCAATTGCTAGTCCCCGCACTTCTTTCTCGCCTTCTATGTCTCCTAGTAAGGACTCGTTTTCGGGGACTAGCTCGGAGACCTGCAGGGGCGGATCAATATTAGTACTCTGCTTAACCACTCGCGCCCTTCGCAGAAGATAGTCCAGCCTCTGGGCTACTGGGTTTAGCGAAGATCCATCGACTACGGCCATTGTGTATTATGGAAGGGGTCCTAGCTGACGGATTGTGAGTGACGGTTGTTGGCAGAGAAAGGCGGTCGCTCGTGGGCCGACAAAGTCGACTCTAGTACCGGAAAGTAGCTTGGCAGAGCGCAATAGAGTGAGATGGTACCACTAAAGAAAAATCCGTTAATCTGAGTACTGTAGTGTGAATACGCATGAAGATTGGTGATATCGTGACCGAACCATTGTCCAGCGTTGCTTAGAATAAAGTAGCCCACACGTTACCAAAAGCGGTTAGCACACTGCACAGACCCATGCAGACGCGCCAAATCGCGTCGCGTCTACCCAGTCAGTCCCGCATTGCAGCAATCGTCGTCTTCTGGGCATCGCTCGAATCTGCTGCCTTGGACAAAGTCCCACCGAACTCAACTCGCTCTGCTCAGCGATGTCTATGCCCAGTTCCACCGCAGGCAATGCGCCGCCAATCGATGAGCTTGATGACATTCTAAACGGCATCATAGAGGGTCGAGATGAGGCAGCAGCGGCAAGCACTGTCCAGGTACATACGAATGCGTCAAAACGGAGGCCGACAGACAACACGGGAGAATTGGGAATTGATGAGGAAGTCATCATCACGAAGAAACGAACACCAATACCCAAGCTCAATGACGAAAGACTTCTTTCAGATGCAGGCATTCCCCGCCTGCGGAGGATATCGAAGGAACGGCTGCGATTCAAGGGCAAAGGAAACGAGGTGGGTGCAATTCCATCCATCTGTGTCCTGTGCGACTAACTCACTTGCAGTATGGAGACATTGCGAGAATGTTGAACATGTATCAGTTGTGGCTGGACGATCTGTACCCACGCGCCAAATTCGCCGATGCACTTGCCATGGTTGAGAAAGTTGGGCATACCAGGAGGATGCAGATAATGCGAAAGGATTGGATAGACGAAGGAAAGCCCAGGCGCGCCACAGAACAGGAAGAGCATGACGATGTAGACCAACTTCCTCCAACTGCTGCCCACCCAGAGGAGAGCGCAGACACAGTGCAGGGTGTAGACGACCCTACCGAGAACAACGATGCGTCACATACGGATGCTGAGAGACGAGACCAGACTGCAACATCGAGGCGGACGACACCCCAATCGGGGCACGATCCGGACGAAGACGAATTAGATGCACTGTTGGCAGAAGGCGCACCAGATGCATCGAACGTGCCCACTTCTCTGCCGTCACGGACGAAAATGGCAGATGATGATCCTTTTGCAGACGAGATGGAGGCGATGGCGGACATGGAGGAGATGTGGTAGGTAGGTCGGTAGGTAGCTCAACCCGTGTGCACAGACACAGTCCACAGTCATCTGTCAGACTGCACGAGACACCTGAGGTTACAACAGATATTAGGTGCACGCATAGCATGGCGTTCAGGGTCGTATCAGAGAGCATTTTGAATCATTTCTATTAGGTGCATGCTTGCAGCTGAATTGGATGGCGCTTGCAGCTTGACAGCAACTTTGTTAGGTTGTAGCAAAGGTTACCGGTAGTTGTACATTGGCCTCTGTGCCCCGCGTCGCAGTGGATCCTTCCAGCGAAGCGAGATCCGTGGCTTGGCAGTGACAGGCAACGTCATGCATTTTCCACTTGAGCCTCAAAACAATCACCACCTTGCAAACCGACACCATCCTCACTGGCCATGGAGGTTCTTTCTGCCCAGCTGGAAAGGCTACGGGTGAGCGTCGATGCACTCGAGCCTGATGGAGATTGGATCGACTCGATAGCTGGCGAACAACGGCCGTGCAAACGGCAGCGCAAAACAAAAGAGATGATCCAGAAAGAGCTCGAAGCCGAATTTTTGACACCTTCAAGCTCGTTCAACACTGAGTGGTTGAATCGGTTGCAGCAACGGTGGGATGCACCGACAAACTACCGCAGCTTGTTTCAGATAGCGCCCACCCAGACACGGACCATTATACGGTTCACGCGTGAGGGATTAGAAGGCCGTGTCACCGGTTATAAAGAAGTAACTGTACCAGCCAACTCCGCGACAGCAAAAAATTCCACGTCTCTACTCCGTAAACCGGCCAATCGAGCCGAGTTTGTACGTGGTGCGGCTGGCTTCTTCCCTTTTGCTCCTGGTGGTCTCGATGGCGTGGAAGCAATTGCAGCTATTGAAGATGAGGCGATCTTGCAAGAAGAGAGCGCAGCAGCCAGAAAATCTGGCGGTCTGGACCGCGTCATTAACTTCGCCGGGGAAGGAGGGCTACTGGAAATTCCACCGGGCTTCACTCGTGGCCTGGACCTTCAAAAGAAACCAACTACAGACTCCAAGGCAGCGAAGGAAGTGGAAGATACTCTTGGAGAGGCCTCAATGACCAAGCCACGTGCCGACACTGATGAGGATGAAGAAGGCGGTGAATCTGATGGTGGCGAATCCACCGAGGAAGATGCGAACACGGCAGAGGAAGAAATAGACTCTCTACTACCAGTCGAGTTCCCTGCTCTGGCTCCCCATGGACCACTTGCAATGAGTACTGGACGGAAAGGTGGAAGAGAGTGGGCCCACATGGTGGATATCAACCGCGACATCACCAATTTCCGAGAGCTCGTTCCTGACATGGCACGCGAATATCCATTCGAGCTGGACACGTTCCAGAAGGAAGCAGTGTACCATCTGGAAAACGGGGACTCGGTCTTCGTGGCCGCGCACACTTCTGCTGGCAAGACTGTAGTTGCAGAGTATGCTATTGCCCTTGCTGCTAAGCACATGACCAAAGCCATCTATACCTCTCCCATCAAAGCACTCAGTAATCAGAAGTTCCGTGACTTCCGCCTTACCTTCGATGATGTTGGTATCCTGACTGGAGATGTGCAAATACGTCCAGAGGCAAGCTGTCTAATTATGACTACGGAGATTCTCCGAAGTATGCTCTATAGAGGAGCAGACCTGATCAGGGACGTCGAATTTGTAATCTTCGATGAAGTTCACTATGTGAATGATCTTGAGCGTGGTGTGGTGTGGGAAGAAGTCATCATCATGCTGCCAGAGCACGTTACTCTCATCTTGCTCTCAGCCACTGTACCAAATACTTATGAGTTTGCCTCATGGGTCGGCCGCACAAAGAAGAAGGACATTTACGTCATCTCCACAGCTAAGCGTCCGATCCCTCTGGAGCATTATCTCTGGGCTGGGAAAGATATACATAAAATTGTCACCGCAGACAAGAAATTTCTCGACAGTGGCTGGAAGGATGCAAACGACATACTCTCTGGCAAGGACAAGAAGGTCGCACCACCCAAGGAAGGGGCTCCAACTGGCCGAGGTGGTCGCGGAGGTCCTCCTGCTAGAGGAGGCCAAAATCAACGGGGAAGAGGACAGGCGCCCGGAGGCCGAGGTGGAGCGCCTCGTGGTGGAGGTCCCCCTGCTACCAGAGGGCGGGGCAACATTGCTAGGACCGGGCGTGGTGGCGGCCGTACCACGGCTGCACAGGACCGCAACATATGGGTACACCTCATTTCATTCCTCCGCAACAAAGAATTGTTGCCGGCGTGCATTTTTGTCTTCTCCAAGAAGCGTTGTGAAGAGAATGCCGAGGCACTGTCGAATCTGGATTACTGCACGGCTGCAGAAAAGAGCGCCATTCACATGACAATAGAGAAATCCCTGGCGAGACTAAGTCGCGAAGACAGAGACTTGCCCCAAATTAAGCGACTGAGGGAGTTGCTCAGTCGTGGTATTGCTGTTCATCATGGTGGTATGCTACCTATCGTGAAAGAAGTTGTAGAGATACTGTTTGCAAAGACGCTGGTAAAGGTTCTCTTTGCCACGGAGACTTTCGCTATGGGTCTCAACTTACCCACCAGGACGGTGGTCTTCTCCGGTTTCCGCAAACATGATGGACGCGAATTCAGAGACTTGCTACCTGGAGAGTATACACAAATGGCCGGTCGTGCTGGACGTAGAGGTCTCGATACGGTGGGTACGGTCATCGTTTGTGCACCCGGAGCCGACGAAGCTCCGCCTGCAGGACGACTAAGGCAAATGATGTTGGGCGAACCCACAAAGCTGAGGTCACAGTTCCGACTTACCTACAACATGATGTTGAACCTTCTGCGTGTGGAAGCACTGAAGATTGAGGAAATGATCAAGCGTAGTTTCAGCGAGAACGCTACCCAAGCACTACTTCCGGAGCACGAAAACAAGGTCAAGGTGTCAGAGGCAGACCTGGAGAAGATCAAGCGTGAGCCATGCAAGGTGTGCGACGTGGACCTGGAGGCTTGCCATCAAGCGTGCATGGAGTACAAGCGTCTGACCAACGAAATGCACCTGAGTCTCTTGATCAACCCTGTGGGACGGCGGGTGCTCGGAGCCAACCGACTAATTGTTTATAAAAAGGTTCGAACTGGGACATGCTCGATGTATGCAATGTTTACTAAAGATAAATTAGGACGAGAAGAGAACGGCCGGCATGTTGCTCCGGGAAGGCACAAGTAAAGGAAACGAACCTTCTGTCATGGTCTTGGAGATTGCACAGCACCAAGACCGTAAAGCCGATGACTTGCTACCGTACTTGGGGTCTTTTGCAAAATTCTTCAGGAGATTGCCAAACAAACCAGAAGATCTGATCCTAAAGAGCGAGCTCGTACTTCTCAGTGATATCGAGTGTTTCACGAAATCATTGATTGACGTACCAGCTTCGGTGCAAAATCTAAGCCGGAAGAAGGGTAAGCAATGAGTTTGTATGCTAGGAGTAATTATTAACTTTGCACCCAGATTCCCTCAAACTTGCTCAGGCTCAATTCTTGCCCTTGTGCCAGTCATGGGGATACGAAGACTGGGATGAGTATGACTATAGCCGCATCAAGAGTCTGAAGTTCCGCGAACTGGAGGATCTCCGAAAGAAGGTTGGACAGGATGCAGTCTCCAAGGACTGTCTGAAGTGCCCTGACTTCTTGAAGCATGTACGTATACCCACTCTATTGCTATGTCGGCCACACTAACATTTGTAGTTTGCCATGGAGCACGACCAATGGCTCATCAAAGAGAACATAGTTGCACTTCGCCAACTCATGTCCGATCAAAACCTACAGCTACTGCCCGACTATGAGCAGCGTATCCACGTCCTCAAAGACCTTGGCTTCATCGACGAAAGCTCTCGTGTCGAGCTCAAAGGCAAGGTAGCCTGCGAGGTATGTCACAACGCCTTCTCCCGGTCCCCAATCAAAACCTAATTCCGATACGCAGATTCACTCAGCCGACGAGCTCGTCCTCACCGAGCTCATCCTCGAGAATGTCCTCGCAAGCTACGAGCCTGAAGAAATCGTGGCCCTCCTCTCCGCCTTTGTCTTCCAAGAAAAAACTGAAATCGAACCGACCCTGACCGCCAGCCTCTCACGCGGCGTCGCCAAAATCATCGAGATATCAGAAAAGGTCAACCAGATCCAGACGCTGCACCAAGTCATTCTGTCGGCCGACGACTCCAACGACTTTGTCAGTAAGCCGCGCTTCGGCATGGTCGAAGTTGTGTATGAGTGGGCGCGCGGCATGTCGTTTAACCGCATCACGGACCTGACGGATGTCATGGAGGGCACGATTGTGCGGGTGATTACCCGCCTGGATGAGACGTGTAGGGAGGTGAAGAATGCGGCGCGAATTATTGGCGACCCGACGTTGTTTCAGAAGATGGGGACGTGTCAGGAGTTGATCAAGAGGGATATTTGTAATTGTGCGAGTTTGTATTTGTAGTGGGTCGTGGTTGTGGAGGGTGAGGAGGGGTTTTGAGATGGAAGAAGAATGAAGGGGAGATTTTACACATTTTGTTTTCCCCTCTCTCATCTAATTGTGAATCATGCTTTCGTCCGGCCACCGATCACACCATAGCCACACCTTCATTCAGTTTCACCATTCTCCTCCCATCGTTCCCCACCCATCGTGTCCCACTGTTCCCCACCCCCCGCTTTTGCTTCTTTTATTGGGGTCCCGACATGGCGGCGGTTCATGCGGCGAGGCAGGTACTGTATATGGGGAATGTGAAGTGGGACATTACATACTACCAACATACTATACATGACTATATATATTCATGCAACAGTACTATACAATTTTACACCACACCATCCCGTATCCACCCCACTTCCCAAGTCCCACCCGCCCAGATCCAAGTCCAGATCCAGCATGCATTCCTATCCACACTTCCTTTTCAAGCGGAGCCACTTTTTCAGACATGAGGGGTGGGGAAGGCATGGCACATGGGAATCCTTTTTGGGGGAATTGTGGGTAGGTGTCGTGGATGCGGGGTATGTTGCTGTGTATGCTAGGGCTTGGAGGTGGTGGGATTGTGTTAGAGAGCTAGACCCAGACCCAGAGAAATCTGGAATCTGGAACCTGGAACCTGGAAACTGAGCTGAACCTGTAATACTCCTACAAATTGAATTAGATTTAGATCTGAAAGTAACGGTACGTTTCGTTTAAAGAAAACATCAGCTAGCGTTTATGTATCCTACAACCTTTCCCGTATCCCTACTGCTACTATATACAACATTTCCCGCACAATCCAGATGCGGAAAACTCTTCAGATGCGATGTTTTTTTGCGGGGGAAATACAGTAGGATTTGCTTTCCCTTGATTTTTTTCCGTGCTAGAAGCTTCGAATATAGATGTGCCAGTACATGCGACACTACACAGACAGGCAGGCCACGCAGGCGCAGAGGAGGATGATAACAATAAATGCTGTGAACAGGGTGAACAGGGTGAATGGAGTAAATAACAACACGGGGGAAATGTTTAAGTTTAGATATTGAATTCCATTTATTCCATCTATCCCTTATCTATTGAATCCCCTCAATCATCTCCTACAATACAACTCCTACAAGTAAATAACGCAAACGCAGATTCTGGTTTGGATAGTGGATATTCGTTCATGAACTGTATTTCTACTATATCTACTGTAAGTCTGCTGTAAGTCTACTACACCTGCTATACATCTACTATAGCCACTAAAGCACACTACGAATCTGGTAGAGCCCTACGAGTGGACACTGGACCGCCAGGAATGCCGATACAACTTGCTAGATTGAATTTTCATCTATTTCATCTATCGCCCATAAATTTCCATTTACCTAGTTCATGCACACATGGAGGCGGGCACTGAAAGGTTTGGGTATATAAAGGTATGTGGAGATGTACCGTTTTGTTGTTGTATCTTCTTCCTTTCTTCCTGCTCTGACGTTGACTTTGACGTAGACATTGGATATGGTCAAAGTACAATATTACTCAGCCGACCGTTGCGATCTACACCACACGACTCCTTCCTCGCTTTTCCTCGCTCTCGCTCTCCTTCCTCCTCCCCTCGCCCCCCTCCCTGGCCCAGAAGCCACGGCACCCCAACCCACCATCACCGCCTCTCCATCATCGATCCACCCATGCGCGTGAAAACTCTTCAACCTGGATGCGTCCGACCTCCAACCTAGCCGAGGCACCCAGCGCTCTCACCATGCATCGCCTATGCAAGGCAAGAGCCTGTCACTTCCACCACGGTGCAAAACCCACGGTCGCAAAAGCCCACGCTGTAAATTACGGTGCAACCAACGGTATAACCACCGAGACCAGCACTCCCACAAACGACCGCGTGGTGATGCATGTCGGTTTGCGTCGGTGTTTGGAAAGAGAGAGGGCAAAGGTAAGGATAAGGGGTAAGAGTAAGCGGGATAGCCAACCCTTGACCCTAGCATTTTGGGTTGAAAACACCATGCATGGTAGACGAGAGCGGGCACTGGGAAAGTCGTGCGTGGCCAAGGTGAGGCACGTGGTCCGTGTGTGTGGTTGAGGGGAGAGAGGGACCATGGTGGTGGAGCGTGGTTGTCGTTGTGGTGGGATAGCGGGTCCTGGTACCCGTGCACCGAATCTGGGTGTTTCAAACCGATCTAGGGGTTATTTTTAACTTGGTCCCGGCAAATGTGAGACACGTACGGGAGGGACCCCGAGGAGAGGGGAAAGGGTAGGGGGGGAGAGGGGAGAGGGGGGAGGCCGTGGTTCGGGCTGATGCGGTGGGTTCGTTGGGAGACAGTGCGCAACCACTTACGCGATGCAGAGATATCCTGGGTAGGCACAAAACAAGTGCATGAACTATTTTGACCGAGACTACGGGACGAGGAGCATGGGTGTGCATGGGATGGGGTTTGCGTGAATAACAATCGAACGAAAAACATCTTGCCGATCGAGGCGACGGAGAGAGGTTCACGGACGAGGTAAGTATTTGCGAACACGATGTGTATACCTGGAATGCGTGTAGCCATCTCATGCGCCAAGTGTTTGTGCTTGGGAGAAAAATCCCGTGGCCTGAGAAGTGTTGGGCAAAGGGCCGACTTTGGGTGGTACCTTCATCTTGATGGTGCCGTTTGCTTTTTTGCGAGAGTCATTTTGGGGGTTCTGGATGTACTGTATGTACATACACAGTAACTTATAGCGGCCGACCCACCACGGTAGGTGGACTATTTTCTTGCCGGATTGAGTACTACTGTAGGAGGCTTGTTTCTTGATCCTTGAGTATCGACATCGTACCATCCTTTGCTGATCAGCGGGGCGATGCAAGTGCCCCTGACGCTGAGGGTGGCGAAGCGATTGTTTGTAGAGTATAGTCGGTATAATCTTTGCAAAGCTACCAAAAGTGTGGGTTGGAATGAAACGAGCTGCAAGGTGAGTGATATGCAGCGTTCCCGCAGGAAGGAATTGTGATGGATCACCGTTGGCGGGGAATGTTGCAAAACTTAGCTTGCCCAGCCCTACCATTACCGCAACAGTTTCCTCGCTTTGTGTCATGTCTTGTCCTTTTGCATATTCTTTCTTCACACTTCTATTGTAGGAAGGTTGTCGTGTGCACAATGACGTACAACTGTCAAAAGGCGCCCATTGCCAATTGACTCCTTCTGAGGCTTTAGAGTTCGTTTGACATGATGAAAGCACTTGGCTGTACCTGTTCAGGGTTCAGGGCGCGCCATCCTCTACGCTCAATAGCACTTGTGGCGTCCATCTACCGCACGGTAAACTCTTTGTCATTCCGTCGTCAGTCCGATGTCACACACTACTCGACTAACTGTGACTGCAATTGCAGAGCACATGCGGAGATAATCTGGGTCTACACGAAACTTTTACCTGTCTTCCCATTGCCATTCTTAGCATGGCGAAGGTGCAACGGTCGACTACGATTCAGGTTTTCGATGCGAGGTCGACTATTGATGCACACCAGCATGCCGGATGCGCGGTGACGGTGGCGCAAGAGTCGGGGTTTTATAGGCTGGTGTGGTAGCACAAGGTGTTGCGTTGATGCCGGTAGCCATGCGACTTGCCGAAGGACGTATGGATACCGATGCGATACTGGAAGCATGCTTCTTGAATGCTTGAGCACGAAGAGAAGGTTTGCTCTGCCGTATGCTATGCTTGAGATGCCCTGGCAGCAAACAAGACAAGACTCGACACGGGGAAGCAAGGTCTACAGGTCATTGATGGGGAGGGCAGATGGCCCAAAGCGGTACAGAGGGATGCACTGCCATGTCCTCATCGTGCGTAAGCGAACCGATGCTCCTGTAAGGCGAGGTACTGGCTGGAAGAGATGAGGCTAGGGCGGGTGGAGTGGAGTGAAGGGCATGAGGCTGCAGGTACGTCGACGAGGGGGGTAGACTCTGGCGTGTGGGGACGAGAAGAATAGAGTGAAGGGTGATAATCATGGCCTGCGAGCAAGCAGTAGTGGCGTTGTGTCCGAGGGTGGTTGTTGCTGTTGATGTTGTTATGATGGTGGTGGTGGTAGTGATGGTAGTGGTGGTGGTGGTGGTGGTGGTTGTGTGGGAGTGCAACAATGTGCTGGGTGAACTGGTTCTGGCATACAAATGGGAGGTGTGTGCATTGGCCACGTGCTAAGTGACTAGAGCTGCTTCTGGTCCACACAAAATTGATGACAACTGCCCCTCCCTCAATTCCGCCCGCACTTTACGCTGCCCCCCCAAGTCGCAAGGGCGCCAAAAAAAAAAGAAGAAAGAAACACAGAAACTCAGAAACTCAGAAAAAGAAGAAATTGGACTTTGTGCATACACTACCTGTGGCCTCTGACGATTGTGGACCCAGTCTCTTCCGCCTTCCGCTAATACTGCTCTCGCCCGCTCTCTCTCTCTCTCTCTCTCTCTCTCTCTCTCTCTCTCTCTCTCTC